TTAAGGGCATTTGAACTGTTATGACGTCACGATTTTAGAACACATGCCCTGCACAAATTGTGACGTCATAATGATTCAAATACCCTTAAAACAAAATTGAATTTCCAAGAAGAAATTCATTACTTTTAAAAATAATTGAATTCATTTGTTGAATATTGTTATTTATGAAAATAATTGAATTTTGTAAAGAATTTTATTAAAATAATTGTATTTTTGGGAATAATTTTGATATTTATCGACATTAATTGAATTCTTTCGAACAATTATTTATGTAAATAATTGAATATTATTTAAAAAAGAAAATTAATTAAAATTGTATTTTTTTCAAATAATTGAATTCCTATGTGAATAATTCTAATAGTTTTTTTTTGTAAATAATTGAATTCTTTCAAATTGTATAAAAAATTTTATTATTTATGAAAATAATTGAAATCTTGCGATGAATTTTATTATTTATGAAAAGAATTGAATAGATGCTAAGTATTTTATTAAAATTTTCAAAAAGTATTGAATTTTCTTGTGCGGAAAATTTTATTTGTGTAAATAATTAAATTTTTGATGAATATTATGAATTTTTTTTTTTAATAATTGAATTCTTTTGAGAAATTTTATGAAAAAACTAGATATTGAAAATAATTGAATCTGTTTTAAAGAATTTTATTATAATTTATGAGAATAGTTTTTTGACTTCTAGTATTAGTGAATTTAAAGTAGTGAAAATTCTAAAAAAACAGAAATAGTAGCTTTTAGTCGCTGAAATCTAAAAAAAAGTACCCAAACAGTAGCTGATTAGGAAGAAGAGCGCAGGCGCGGGAATGGGGTCAATGAGTGCGAGAGAGAAGTTTGCGTATTTCTCTCTCACACTCATTGCCCACATTTCGGCGCTTGCGTTCTGCTACTATTTTCCGTAGTATTTCTATTTTTATTATTATTATTATTATTATTATTATTATTATTATTATTATTATTATTATTATTATTATTATTATTATGAAATCATTTTTCTTTTTTTCCCTTTTTCATTTCTTTTTTTTCTTATTTTTTTTCTTTTGCATATAAAGTGCGATAATATTTTATACTAAATTTAAAAACCTAAAAATATTTTTGAGTACACACACATATATATATATATATATATATATATAAGTGAATAATAATTTTGATGGGCGATGAAAATACACTGACTGACATTATTCACATATAGGAATGCATACAATCATTTCGAATATTGCGGCCTCGAATGCAATGGAATGCGCTCTTGGCACCCATGCGCTGCAATACGCGATACTCCACTCGTATATGCTGTTACGTTTATGCTAATAGTCCTCTATAATAATAACAATAATAATAATAATGATGACGATAATAATAATTCAATGCAGATTCACAACGAGAGAATTAATTTCCATCTGGAAAAATGTTGTTTGAAATCGAAAAAAAAAATATTTGTGTCATTCTTTGGAATGCCGTTTATTTTTACTTAATTATTATATATTGTCCTTGGATTTGAATTAAACAATAAAAATTATTTCACTGTCAAGGTTAAATCGAGTATTGTGGTGAGGTCATTATAGAGAACGCATATTTATGTAGACATATATCTTATGTGTAAATTTCTTGATTCGCATCGATGATTTTAATGACATCTTTAAAAAGAGATTTCTTTGTACGTATTCTAATTAAGTAATTTATTTTTTTTCTTGAAATTTTGTATTTTTTCCTTGTAATTACTATAGAGGAGTGTAGATATGTATATATTTTTTTTAGAGATACAGAGAAAATGTTTCATTTTTTCTAAGAATGAGTTTTAATTTTAAGGAAAAAATAAATTGTTCTCGATGAGTTATTGAGAAAAGTTGCTTCTTGCAACTGATAGTAAAATTAATAATAAAGAGTTCGTTGATGATTGTGGAAAAAAATATTCACAAACAATAATATAATTATTGGTTTTCGTAAAATATTGTTATCAGCTTGGGAAAGGATAATTTTTTTAGTCGAAATATGATTCAAGAAAAAATTGTTTCTTCTTTATTTTCTTTCTCTTTTCTATGAATAAATAATAAATATACGAACAATAATACGTAAATAATAAATAATTACATAGTTAATAAATAATAAGTAAATAAAAAATAAATAAATAAACAATAAAATAAATAATAAAATGTAATATAAATAATAATAATAAATAAACTCTAAATAAATTATACAGGGCTCGATATAGGTCCGTAAATCAAATGTTTGCAGAAATTCAATTATTTTCAAAAGTAAAAAAATTCTTCGAAGAAATTCAACTACCTATATGTTCAAAAATTAAAAAAAATTCTCGTCAAAATTTTAATTATCTTCAGAAATAATAAAATTATTCTCTGAAATTAAATTATTTTCAAAACATTTAATAAAATTCTTAGCAAACATTTAATTATTTTCATAAAATAATAGAAATTTCACAAGAATTCAATTATTTACAAATTTTTTTCCAAATTTCTTCGCAATAATTCAATTATTTTCATAAATAATAAAAATTTTGCAGGGATTGAATTATTTTCGTAAATAATAAAATTCTTTTTAGGAATTAAATTATTTTCATAAATAAAATAAAACTCAATGCAGAATTTCAATTATTTTTAATTCAATTTTAATCGAATTCCTCGAAAAATGTAATTATTCTTAAAAATTTTATTAAAATACGTCAAAAGAATTCAATTATTAAAAAATTTGTTGATAAAATTCTTTATGAGAATTGAATTTTAAGAAATATTCAATTATTCAATAAAATATATTTTTGTATTATTAAAATTCGTCAAAAGAATTTAATTATTTAAAAATTTGTTAATAAAATTCTTTATGAGAATTGAATTTTAAGAAACATTCAATTATTCAATACATTATTTTTTTATATTTAAATAATATTGAATTCTAGTAGAATTTTTTTAATAAAAAATTGATTTAAAAATGAATTCCAGTTAAAATTTTAAATTATAATTGAATATTAAGGGCATTTGAACCATGATGACGTCACAGCCTTAAAACTCATGCTTTGCAGAACCTATGACGTCATAATGGTTCAAATGCCCTTAAAAGCCTTAGAGCGTGAATTTTTAGAAATAATTGAATTTTGTAAAGGTTTCAAATTAAAATCTTTGAAAATCTCAATTTTTCATATTTTTAACTAACAATTCTGTGGAATTAATTTTTTGGGAAAAGTTTAATTGCTAATTTTTTTTTTTGAAATTATTTCAAGTTTTTATTTTCTAATATTATTTAATTGAAGAATTTACAAATTATTGAAATTTTGTAAAATTTTTATTGTAAATAAATAAATTTGAAAATTCTCAAAGAACTTTTTCAAAAATTATTTAAAATAATGCATTTATAGAAGAATTATAATTAAAAACAAGAGAGAAAGAAATTTAATTTTGGAAAAGTTACAAATTATTGTAAGAATTCAATTATTTTCAATAGTTATAAAATTCTTCGCAGAAAATTTAATTATGTTCAAAAATATTAAAATTATTCTTTAGGGATTCAATTATCTTCACAAATAATAAAACTCATCGCAGATTTTAATTATTTTTAATACAATTTTTAACAAATTTCTTGAAAAATGTAACTATCCTTAAGAATTTTGTTAAAATTTGTCAAGAGAATTAACTTATTCAAAAATTTATTTAATAAATTTCTTTACGAGCATTCAATTTTAAGAAACATTTAATTAACAAATTATTTATTTTTGTATTTAAATAATTGAATTCTCGTAGAATTTTCTAGTAAGAATTGATTTAAAAATGAATTTTAGTTAAAATTTTACATAATAATGGAATATTAAGAGCATTTTAGGATAAATTTTTAGAAATAATTGAATTTAGAAAAGGTTTTATTTTAAAAATTGCCAAAATATTAAATATTTTCAAAAATTTTCTTCAATTCAATAATTTTTTATATTTTTTATTTGAATAAAATTTTCTAAAAGAATTCAATTATTTAAAATAAATTGAATTATTTTTATAAATAATATTTTAATTCAATTATTTTTATGAATAATAACATTTTTACAGGGATTAAATTATTTAATTATTAAAATTCGTCGAAAGAATTTAATTATTTAAAAATTTGTTGATAAAATTCTTTATAAGAATTGAATTTTAGGAAACATTCAATTATTCAATGAATTATTTATTTGCATTTTATTTGTATTTAAATAATTAAATTCCAGTAGAATTTTCTAATAAAAATTTATTTAAAAATAAATTTCAGTTACAAATTTAGATAATAATTGAATATTATTAAAATTTATATTATATAATATTAAAAGCAATATATTACGTGAATTTTCAGAAATTATTGAATTTTGAAATTAATTTTTTTTATATTATTTGAAGTTTTTATTTTCTAAAATATATTTTATTGAAGAATTTACGAATAATTTATTGAAATTCGTAAAATTGAATATTTTTAAATACTTTCACTGATTCGAGTCCTGATTATAGATAAATAATTAATAAATTATAAATTAATAAACAATAATTTAATAAATATATAATAAATAAACAATAAATAAATAATAAATAAATAGCAAATAATTGATAAATTATAATAAATAATCAATAATTAATAAATTACAAATAAATAATTAATAAATAAGAGTTTCGATAAATTTTTTCAAAGTATTTAGAAGAGAGCAGGTGCGCGCGATTTTTTTTTCTTTTGTTGTTGTTCACGTTGTCATGGTGACAAAACACTGTCACTGAAAGTTCGATCACTCACACACGGTGACCAGTGTTTTCGAAGAGAAACAAAAATTTTCACACACGTGTCCTAATTAGGTACACGTGTTAAATTTGACAAGATAGCGAAAAGAAAAACAAGTTAACAATTTTAATTTTTTTTTTGCAGTAATATTTCTAAAAAAAATGTTTATAAAATAATGTTTGAAATAAATGAATAGGGAAAAAAAACTTTTTGATTTACTATTTTTTACGTGAAAAGAAGAAATAAATAAAATGGTTGTTCTCGATAAACGAAGAACATTAATTGTTTCAACGGCTGGTAATTTTTTTGGCATCTCATCACAGCTCGATTCGGAAATTGTCGATTCGTCTGTTCTTGAAAAATTCTTAAATCAATCGTCGTGTCGAATTTTGTGCGCGCATCCATCATTTCAAGGGGAGGATGAAACATTTTTGAATTTAACCAATGAGCTTCCAATTGGAAAAAATACTCTTGTCTTTTTTAAGGTAAAATTTAAATAATTAGTTTTTAAAAAAAAAATTTTATATTAATGGTTATTTAGTTAAAAAAAGGTTTTTTTTTACTTTAAGAGAATTTTTTTTAACTTTTCTCCTATTAAAAATTTAATTTATAAAGTAAAAATAAATGAATAATTGTTGTTTTATAGAGAAAGTTATTTTTTTTTTGTTGAATAGTATTTTCAACAATCACATTAGAAATGAACTGTTTCTATTGTTTAAAAATACACACCTTTTAGTTTTAAATTTAAAAATCGGAGAAAATTCAACTTTTTGAGAATTTTTTTGAAATAAATTTTTTTAAACCTAAAATTTTCAACTATATTGTATTTTATAACATTTAAAATATTTTAGTACTTTTCGTATTCATATTTAATCAATATAAAAATCATGGTTTTATATCCTAATTTAAAATTTTAATTTTAAACTTGATTTCAAAATATTAAACTTTATTTTCAAATTTTTATACATAATTTAAAATTTTTAAACTTAATTTAAAAATTATTTAAATTTAAAAATTATTTTCAATATTTAAAAATTTCACAATTATTTTAAATCATAAACTGCAGGTTAGAATTTAAACGTTTGTATTCAGAATTTCAATATTTTAAAGTTTAAATTTAGTTTTCAAATTTTTTTATTTCATTTTAATTTTTAACATTTAAAAGTTAGTTTTCAAACTTTATTCGTAATTCAAAAATTATTATAATTTAAAACTTTAAAATTTGAAAAAAATATAAAATAACTTAAACTTAATTTCAGAATTTAAGCCTTATTTTTCAAAATTTAAAACTTGTTTTTCAAATTTTACACTTATTTTTCAAATTTTAAAACAAACTTTCAAATTTTAAACTTAATTTTCAATTTTAAACTTAAAATTCAAATGTTTAAATTAATTTTCAAATTTTAATTTAATTTTAGAGTTTAAACCTTAATTTTCAAAATTTCAAAATTTCAAATTTTTTTTTTTTTTTTTTTATTGCAAAATTATCAAGATTAACAAATGTTAAGCTTAGGTTTTGAATTTTAACTTAATTTTTCTATTTTTTTATTTCATTTTAATTTTCTACATTTAAACTTACTTTTCAAATTTTAAATTAATTTTCATACATTAAGATTTCATTTTAATTTTTAATGTTTAAAAGTTAGTTTTCAAATTTTAATCGTAATTCAAAAATTATTATAAATTAAAACTTAATTTTCAAAATTTTAAATTTTCAAATTTCAAATTTTAAATTTATTTTTAGAATTGATACCTTATTTTTCAAAATTTAAAATTTAGCTTTCATGTTTTAAACTTAATTTTCAAATTTTACATTTATTTTTCAAATTTGTAAATTAATTTTAATATTTTAAACTTTATTTTCAATTTTATACTTAAAATTTTTTAATTAATTTTCAAATTTTAAACTTAATTTTAGAGTTTAAACCTCAATTTTCAAAATTGCAAAATTTACAACTTAGTTTTCAAATTTTAAACTTAATTTAAAAATTTGTAGATTTCATTTTAATTTTCAACATTTTAAAATTATTTTACAAATTTTAAACTTAAATTTCAAATTTTATATTTATTTTATAAATATTAAAATTAACTCGCAAACTTTAGAATTAATACTCAAATTTTAACGTAATTTTCAAATTCTGAATTTAATTTAAAATTTTTTAATTTTAAAGCCATATTTTTAAAATTTTAAGACTTAAACCTTATTTTCAAATTAAACCATAAAAAAATTCCACATTACAAATTTTAATCATAATTCGAATTTAATCTTAGTTTTTAAATTTGAAACTTCAAAATTTCATAATTTTAAACTTAGTTTTCAAATCTTAAACTTACTTTTTTTGTTTAATATTTAATTGAAAAATTTTTAAATTATTCTCAAACTTTAAGCTTAATTTAAAAATTTTAAACTTGATATTCTCATTTTAAACTAAAGTTTAAAATCCTTAATTTAATTTAAAATCTTAAAATTTTATTTAAAATGTTATTTTAAACTTAATTTTCAAATTTTCAAATTAATTTTAAAAATTCAAAACTCAGTTTTCAAATTTTCAAATTGGCTTAAAAATTTTTGAAATTTATAATTTAATTTTTGAAATTTCCAATAATCTTAATTTAAAGATTTCAAAGTTAAATTTTTTAATTTTAAACTCAAATTTTTAAATTTTAAACTTAAATTTTTTAATTTTAAACATAAATTATTAAATTCAGAACTTAAACTTTAAATTAAATTAATTGACAACTGGAGGTATGCACTTGAGGTTGAAAAAAATAATTAAAAAAATAATTTTGTTTTTTTTCCCTTTAAGATAACCGAGGCTCGAGTGACAGATGAGAATTTTCACGACCTCGTGCAACTGACATCGACAGGAAAAAATGGTGGCTCATCATTAATTGAGGCCTTACGTCAAGTTTGGGCCCCGACATTAAAATCTTCTGGTGTCGATGCCTCTTCACTGAGAAAATTAGAGGAGGACATTTTGGGACCAAGACCCTCGTTAACCATCGAGGAGGAGGAATTATTTTGGCATCGTCGTTCCAAAGAAATAAAAAAAACCGACGAAAGAAGACTTCATCTCGAGGCCGTTAGTTTTTTAAAAAAAATACGCGTCGAACTGGAGAGTGCCGCTGTTTCCAAGTTTGTATATTTATATAAATAAAAAGGAATAAAATAAAATTTAAAAATATAAAACTTTAATAAAAACTTTTATTCAAGTTTTATCATTTTTAATAAATTCGAAATGAATTTTTACTTTTGAAAATTTTAGAGAAGGTCTCGCTGGACTGGAAGAGGCACTCGAAGTTGTTTCAGGATTTGCAGACGATCTATGGAAACTGTCGGGTCAAATTTACAACGAGGAACGTATGAAGTCCCTGTTGGATATTATTGGAAACGAAGTCGTTACTCTAGTCGAAAATCTAATAAATGGGGTAAAGTATAAAAAGTAAAATTAATTAAATTTAAAATTAAAGTGAAATTAAAGTTAAAATTAAGAAAATAAAATTTAATTTAAATAGGAAAAAACCTCCGATAGTCGAGTGAAGGACGAGACAATTGAATTGGGAGCTGCAGCTTGTGAAAAATGGGTCTCAGTTTCTCAGCGATTGACAACATTATTTTGGCCTCATTATTCCCTTCATTCATGGAAGGGTCCAGTGTTCACGCCAAAAAAATGCGCAAAACTTCGCGATCGATTAAAGTACTCTTTGATTTCTACATTTTAAGAAAATCTAAATTCTAAATTTTAAAAAAACTTTGATTGGAAATTTTATTTTTTCAGCGAAATTGCTGAATTCAGAGCGCAACATCGTCAATTAACGAGACTCTTGACACCGAAAGAGAGAATTGGTCTTGGTACCAATTCCATTCTTGATGGTTTCAGCGATATTGAAGGTTAATTAAATTTTAGTAACATAACATTTTTTATTAACAAAGAAATTCACTTTTTTAATTTTGTTGGTGCTTTAGGATTGGCTGAGGATCAGAAGGATTTGGATTGGGAGAGATTACGACGTAGATTCGAGGATGGTTTGGCACCGGCGGAGAAAAAAGTCGCTGAAAAATTGAAGACGCAAATTGCGGATGCAAAAAATTCAGCTGCAATGGCTGAGGAATTTAGAAGATATCGGGGATTGATTAAGAGAGAGGGAATTAAGCGGGAACTTCGGAGTGAACGAGAAGCACTTTTATCGGCATATAATCATTTAGTTGGTAGGATTTTTCATGGTCTGTACAATAGAAATGATTTTTTACCATGTCTCATAATTGTTGGTATTCAAATTTAGATATTGAAAGTATTCATTTGAACCCTTTACAATTGAGAGTAGATAGATCTAGAAGTCTTATTGGAAACACAGTAATTAGGAAACAATTGATACCAGCATTTAAATTGTTTCAATCTCCTTCTCTAGAGTCATGCCGAGCTGGTCCAGACACTGAAAATCTCCTGGACACTCCACTCATTCTGCAGGAAATCCAAACGATCAGAGCTTCGGAAATAAAATTAGACAATCTCCAAAAACTAGGCAAAGAACTCCTTTCGGATTTACCAGGTTATGACGAAGCTGCAGACAAGGTTCTTTCTATCACGAAGGACGCTGCAAAAAAAAGACAGGAGCTCGTTGATAATTGGGTAAGTCATGAAATGATTCTGTAAATAACGACCTAATTTCAATCTAATCTTTGGAATAAACAAAATCTAATCTTTGGAGTAAACAAATCTTTCCAAAACTGCAGGTTGCGGAGACAACCGATGCGATAGCAAGCAAAGAACTCACGTTGGGAACCGATTCGGCAGTGGTTGAACTCACGGGAACTAGTATGATGAGAGTTAATTACGATCCACGTTTGACGACATTCATCAGAGAAGCCAGAGCACTGGCTGGACAGGGTGTGGAATTACCGAAGGAAGTGAAAAATTTGGTGGAACGGGCAGGATTATTGGCGAGTAGAGCCAGAGCACTTCAACAAATCGCCAACTTTCATAATACCATTGGAGATCGTATGGTACCATCCCAACGACCTTTGATGCTATCAGCGGCGCTTGAACTCGCTCGAGCTGTACAGGAACAATCCGGAGTGATTTGGTCCGATCCACATGCCGTTGATGCCTACACTGCTCGATTAAACCGACTTGTAATCATTTTCCTCTTAATTCATTCCAAATTTGATGAATTCCAATAATTACAGTCGTTATTTTCATAAATTTTTATTGATAAAACAATTCTCTTGCCGGATGTAATTAAAGTACCCCAATTAATAATATTTTAGTATATTTTCAGTATATATCATCCTTACATCTTTTAGGTAAAGCTATTCGCTCAACAGAACGCCGAACTGGCAGCAAAGCACACTAGACTTAGTGATCTAGTCTCAAATTTACTGAAAGGCGACGCGTTGAATCTGGCCGTCAATCAAAACACCTGGAAGGATACTTTAAAAACTATGAGGACTATTGTTGACTCCGTGGAGGCTGAATACGGAAATACTAAAGCTTGGAAGTTGCACTGGGATCGACAATTGTTGAAGGCGCTAAGCATCGCATATAGGTAACTTCTCCTAAACTTTGTAAATTCTTATTGAAAAAACTTTTGAAAACTATTGAAATTGATATGAATGATATGTTTGACAAATTAGAGCCGCTCTTCCCACGCTGATAAAAAAATTACCGGAGATAAGAGTCGAATTAACATTTCGCTATGGCTCTTTGCAATGGAGACCTACACTGGAAGAAATTCGTGCTAAGATTTATTCTGGAATTCGTAGATTTCTAGCGATACCGACAAATTTTCGAGGTGTTGGCGATCCATCGGATGCGGAATTTCATACACTTGTGCAAAGATGTGCGTATCTCTATGGAGGAGTCTATAAGGAGGCGGAAATTGTTCTAAGTTCGCTAGAAGTCCTTCGGTGTAAATGGATACCTTTGGCAGCGCCCGCCAAGTTTGATGCCGGCGAACAGTAGGTCTTTTCTAAAAAAATAGAAGAAAGTAAAGTGTATAACTAAATATTTTTAGTTAGTATAACTAAATTTTTATTTTATTTCAGACTCAAGGGTAAAAGTCCCCAAGATTGGGAACGAGCTTTTAAAGAAGCGAAACAATGGGCACAGGAAGTGGGAAAATTACGAGGAAGCGATGTTAAGATATGGTGCATTGTCGTCGACACAGCAACTGCTCGAAATGATCTTGAATCGGCTTCAAGAAGATACTGGGAGAGAATGTCTTTTGATTTGCGTGCGGAGGCTTCTTCGAGATTGGTAGCAATTGTCGATTTCTTGTCATCATCATCTAGAGAACTTGATAAGAGACCGCATAATGTTGAGGAAATTGGAATGGCCTATGAGACTTATTCTAGAATTCAGAAAGATTCGGAGGGAACAGCTCGAGAATTGGAGGATGTCACTGGTTTGGCTAGAGTTCTCGCTGCATGGACTCGGGATAAATTAGAAGGTAAAGTTGACATTTTATTACACATGTGTTCTGTCATTACTTCGTTTCTTGATTCCATAGTCTTATAACGACAAGTTTTTTATTTCTGTTCCCATTTGGAGCAACGGTATTGAGGAGGCATTACTAATCTTCATTTCAGGTCTAAGTGCCGCAAACGCTACTTGGGAATGCCTAACAGACAAATTAGAACGTCATCAAGCAGTGATGGTTCGTCAGGTGGAGGACGCGAAAGTGAACCTTCGTCACAAGGCGATAGCATTACGTGACGATCGTGAAAGATGGGAGAACAAATGGTCCTCAAAACCCGAGGATATCACCATCGACTGGTTGGAGTCCATGAAGGAAAGATGGTCTACTTTGAAAAATCAGAAACAGTCCCTGATGTCTGATTGCCAGAGAATTGGATTTGCTTTAGAGGAAATATTCCAAGACGAAGATAATTCCGAGGTCTTTGAAGCGCAACTAGAGGCAGAGGAGATAAATTGTAAATTCCAATCCGAATTCATTGAAGAGTTGAAGAAACAAGAGGATGAAGAATGGACAGTAGCTAGAAGACGACTTGCTAGACTCTACGATTGGTTAGACTCCTGGGAGGCTAGACTTCAGGTTCACTCAAATACTCGAGAACCTAACGAAGAAAAAGTTTCCCTAGAATCAGAAAACTTTGTCAAAAAGAGAATTCGGGAAATTAGAACCGGAATTGAGTGGGTACAATTATTTCGAGGGGATGAATTGGCGGAGGAGCATTGGGCGGAATTGAAACCGATTTTGAAGTTGAATTTCAATCATCCTAGGGATATTACTTTAGGTCATTTATTAAGGTGTTATAAGAATATTCAGGAGAATGAGGATCGTGTCAAGGAGATAACAAAGAGAGCAACTGCAGAGAGTGGAATTCGTCAAGCTCTAGTAGAACTGGAGGCCTGGGAGGGTTCAACCTCTCTTCCTCTACAGGAATCCTTGGATAGCAAAAATAGTAAGATTTTCCTAGTCGGTGAGTATGGACCCCTTCTAGCAAGAGCAGGTGAACTCAGACTTTTGTTAGAAGGAGCAAAAGGAGCTCCGGGCTATGAAAGATTTGCGTCCAGAGCTTCTAGATGTGAAGCTGCCTTATTCGAACTGGAGGAAAGAATAAAAATTCTAAGTACACTCCAGAGAAAATGGGTTTATCTTGAACCGGTCTACGGAGGTGGAGCAGCACCCAACGATGCCGGAAAGTGGTTGAGAGCCGATAAAGAATTTAGATACGTCATGAACGAAGTTATTAAAGATCCACGAATTCCATCCTTGAGAAAACTTCCCCTACCGGCACTGACTAATCTAAAAGATCTTCTAGACAGATGTCAAAGAAGTCTTGACGAATTCCTCGAGGAGAAGCGTTCATCCTATCCTCGGCTCTACTTCCTAAGTGATGAAGATCTTTTAGAATTGGTATCAGGAACCGGAAAGGGTCTCGAAACGCAGTTACCGAAACTCTACCAAGGGGTTGGGACGATAGAAAGGGAGAAGAATATTATAAAGAGTGTTATCTCCCCTGAAGGTGAAGTACTAACTCTCCCCCAAACTATAGACACCACCGAATCTTTGCCCCAATGGTTGACAAATTTAGAAGAAGGTATGAGAAACGCCTTAAGATACAGCCTCACGAAATGCCTCTCCGATTCCTCAGCAGATCCCACCTTATATCCAGCCCAAATTTTACTACTTAGTGGGAGAATTCTTTTTACTGAAAAGTGCGAAATTGCTCTAAATGAAGGTAAGCATGCGGTGAAAAAGCTTTTGGAGTATCTAGAGACTCAGAGAGCGAAATTCAGGGGCCTGGAGGATTCCGGAGATAAACTGACATCACTGAAAGCAAGGGGTCTCTTGCTGGACACTGTTCATCATTTGCAGGTGACCAGAAATCTGCTAACAATCCTGACAAATAAGGAAAATGTTTCTTGGAGTTGGAGTAGACAATTAAGAAGTTATCGTGATGGAAATGGTGCGATTATTAAATGTGCTGGAGCGGAATTTCCTTATTGGTTCGAGTACCAAGGGGCTGCTCTGGGTCTGGTTCGAACACCTTTGACAGAAAGGTGCTTCTTGGCCCTGACCCAGGCGATGAAGTTAGGTCTAGGTGGAAGTCCTACCGGACCGGCAGGAACAGGAAAGACCGAAAGTGTAAAAGCTCTGGGAGCATTCTTAGGCCGACTTGTCATTGTTTTCAACTGTGATGAAGGAATGGATGCTGGAAGTATGAGGAGAATTCTCGGAGGACTTGCTCAGTCTGGAGCTTGGGGATGTTTTGATGAATTCAATCGTCTTGAGGAAGAGACGCTAAGTGCTGTTGCAATGTTGATAAGACCTCTACAAGAAGCAGTGAGAGATGGAAACAGTAATGTTTCACTAGGCGCTCATAATATACCTCTGGATCCACATTGTTGCGTTTTTATCACTATGAATCCTGCCAGTAATGATTATGGGGGTCGGCACAAATTACCGGACTCCTTAGCACGTCTATTTAGACCCATAGGAATGGCACATCCAGACAAGACAAACATAGTCCGAGCACTTTTAGAATGCGCGGGATTTCTAGAAGCCTCGAATTTAGCTAATCAACTCGTAGAGATTATGGACATTGCAGAGAAATTGTTATCCAAACAGCCTCACTATGATTGGGGTCTTAGGCAATTGAGATCCGTTCTTGACGCTCTGCCCCCTAACACAAACACTGATAAAACCGAAACTATGAGACTTTTAATAGCCATCAAGTCATCGACTCTACCAAAGTTGAGTGATGAGGATACAAGTAAATTTTTCGCTCTCCTACAGGACGTTTTTCCGAAAATCAATTTGTCCACTATTGATTCTTCAGAGAGGACGGATTTGCAGAATTGTTTGATGGAACTTTGTGAAACAAGAGGTTTACATGAGGAACTTATTAGTAGATGTCTTCAGTTAAATGATCAACTACAGAATCGGACCGGTGTTGCGATTGTCGGACCCCCTGGAAGTGGGAAGACTTTGGTAAGGAAACTATTAGCTGAAGCTTTCGCAAAGACAGGACAAACGATTTCACAAGTTGTTGTCTATCCGGGAGCAGTTGCAAAGTCGAAATTATTAGGGAAAGTCGATTCCCAAACACGGGAATGGAAAGAAGGTCTGCTAGCAAATGGAGTGGCGTCTGCGAACGATGGTCAGACTTGGATTGTTCTAAACGGAGACGTGGAGCCCGGTTGGGCAGAGGCTCTAAATTCGGCCCTAGATGACAATCGAATACTCACTCTTCCTAACGGAGTCGGAATGAGACTTGGTAGTGGTACACGGTTTATTTTCGAGACACATAAACTCGATGCTGCCAGTCCAGCAACAGTTTCACGACTTGGAGTCCTTCATCTTGGATTTGCATCGATTTCGTCCTTGATTACTCCGGGTATTTTGGAAGGTCTGCCAGTAATTGGAAAGGACATTGCGAATACTCACCTAAGTAGTTGCATAAAACAAGTTTTGAGGTTCAACAAAGAATACTCATCAGCGTCAGGCTTGATCAATGGTACTTTGCCCCATTTGATGAAGGCTCACACCCAGACATTAGGAACCTTTTCCTTATTGGCTCCCCTATGCAGTCAGATCAAGGATCCTCAAAAAAGAGACCAGTTGGCTAGATCCATATACCAATTAACAGACTGCTGGTGTCCTGATCCTCAGAAACCTTTTTCGGTTCTCTATAATCCAGAAACAGATCGTCTAGAACCCTTGGGTAGTGCCAATCAGTCTGTTATGACAGAAACTGGACCCGTTTTCGTATCGGGAACAATTCAGAAAGCAGTGGCGATAATCCTTCCCTGGATTGAAAGTTGTAGATCGGTTATTATTCGAGGACCTGATGGCTGTGGAAAAAGTGCTTTGATAAGTGTGATAGCGTCATCAGTCAAGGATAATGAGGGTGAATCTTTGTCGGTGGTTAGAGGATCTTCACTATACGGACCACAGGATTTAATTGCAAGATTGAAGAGGGTTTGTGTTCAGATGGAATCGTCATCGCAGGGTAGAACCTATCGACCTAGAAATGGTTCGAGATTAATTTTAATTCTGGAAGATCTTCATTTGGCCTCTAAGGATCTGCAAGAGCTTCTTAGACAATTATTGCAGGAGGGTGGATTCCATGAGGATGATTTAGAGTTCGCGAGTATTTCTTTATCGGTCATTTGTACTGGTGATTCGAATACGAGAATTCATCCGAGGTTGAATGCTCTTCTGATGGCACACTATCTACCTCGACAGGCATCGAAGGATATGGTTGCGATAATAGAACTTCATATGAGAAGTGCATTGAAAAAGGATGACGTTATGGTCGAGTCTTGGATTTCTAGGGTGGCCCCAGCAATGGTAGAGGCGTTTGGGAGCATTTTTCCGGAGGAATTATCTTCTCGGTGGTCGTACAAGGACTTAGCACTTTGGTCTGATTCACTTAAGTATTATTCTTCCGCTGAGGATGAATCGGACTTGACTTGCCACTTGATTTACTCGGGACGACAGCTCTTTAGACCCAAATTGAAGCCAATTAATATTGATAAGTGGGAAATGATAATAACATCTAGGGTGAGGAATGAAAAGAGTTTAGATGACGTTTTTGTTTGGAAAGGAGGAAGTGGTTTGTTGCCCATGGAGAGGGAGTCTTGGAAGAATGAAATTGAGGGTGCTGCTGCAAAGTGTGCGAGAGAAGGGGATCCCCTACATGCTGTGATTTCGTCTCATCTTTTACAGATGACTGCCGAGATTAGCTGGGTCCTAGGAATAGAACAACGAGGAATTGTTTTGATTGGGAGACCTGGTGCTGGTCGCAAGGCAGCTGTGAAGTTAGTTAGCACCCATTTGTCGATGAATGTGGTGTCCTGTGGTCCAGACCGGGGGAGATCAGCCATTAAGGCTGCTGTCCAAGGATCCGCAATTGATGGCGAACCGACAATACTCCTTTTGGAGGAGCATCATATTAGGAAGGAAGGTTTGGCGATTTTAGCAGGTGCTATCATTTCCCAAGGCGAAATACCAGGTTTGTTGACTCCAGAAGAGTTAGATGGGCTGGTTGCCCCCTTGGCGGAACTAGCTCGAAGGGAGGACTTCTCAGGAACACTGGAACAGTATTTTTACCATCGATTGCGAACTCTACTAAAAGTGATGATTATTTTGGACGTTCACGATATGAATGCTCCATGGTTATCGAGGTCAAGTCTTTTGAAGCATTGTATCATTGTTGGTTGTGGTCCAGGAAGAGAGTGGTGGACTTTGGAGAAGTCGCTAATTGACTTAGCGGCCCAGCACACAGAGGAAGATGCCGAAAATAGCTCTTCAGGTGTAAAAGACTTGGTTCAAGCTCACTTACAAGCTCCTAGACACCAACAAGCTCCGGCTAGATTCCTAGCTCTTTTGAACGTATGGGTTCAGCTGCGGGAGAAGTGGACGAAGGAAATAGAAGAAAAACTTCAGACCCTCGAGGCTGGAATTAGTAGACTTCGAGAAGCTGGGGAAAGGGTGGCCAAATTGGAAGAAGAGGCGGATAAGCAACGTCAAGAGTTGGAGGTAGAGAAAGCGAAAGCTAATGCTGCTTTAGAGCAGATTACAGCTACTATGCGAGGAGCTACTGGCCAACGAGGGGAAATGACGACTTTGAAAGCGGCCACTGAGCGGGAAAGTGCGGAACTAGCTCGTCGAAAGGCAGATATCGAAAGTGAATTAGGTAACGTTGAACCTCTAGTTGAACAAGCTGCCCATGCCGTTGCCGGTATTGGTGCCGATGCCCTTTCTGAAGTTCGATCCTTAAGAGCGCCACCAGCGCCTGTTAGAGACGTTCTAGAAGGAGTCCTGAGACTGATGGGAATTAGAGATACCTCTTGGAATAGCATGAAGACTTTCCTAGCAAAGCGAGGTGTCAAGGAGGAAATTAGATCATGGGATGCAAGACGCAGTTCGCCAGCAAGTCTAGATGCTGTTGATAAACTCGTTAAAGAACGTCCCGAAAGTTTTGAAGAAAAAACCGCAAAAAGAGCTTCAGTTGCAGCAGCACCTCTAGCTGCTTGGGTCCTCGCAAATCTTCAGTACGGAAAAATCTTGCAACAAGTTGCTCCATTAGAAAAGGAGCAACGGACCCTGTCGCAGAGTCTAGCTGCTGCAGAAGCCCAATTAGGAAAATTAGCCGAGGGTCTTAATACTGTTGAAAGTAAAGTGGCGCAACTTCAGGAGCAATTAGCCGCCCATTCTAGAGGGGCTGCCGCTCTACAGTTGAGATCAGAAGCCACTGAAAGTAGTCTAGCTACTGCTAGGGCTCTGCTTCAGAAATTGGATACCGAGCATCGTGACTGGCAAAAGCAGTTTGAAGGACTAACTACAAGGAAAACGATTTTGAGCATAGAGGCTGCGGATGCTGCCGCGCTTTTAGTTTATCAAGATCCGACCAAGGATGATCACTGGAGGAAATCAGTGCTCGATCTTCTAATCAACGAAAGAGAGCGTTTACTCTGGAGAGCTCAAGGTCTACCAGTCGATACTGGAAGTTTAGTTGGAGCCGCCTGTTCTTTAAGGGGACCATTAGTTCCCCTCTTTATGGACTCATCCGGTGTGGCAATTACCTGGTTACGTTCAAACATAGGATCAAGGCTCGAATTTACAAAAACCGACGATACCAAATTCTTGACCACAGTCGAGTTGGCGGTGAGATTCGGAAAGCCACTTCTAGTAGAGGATCTTGCCAGTTTCCCATCAATTCTACTTCCATTACTTCGTAAAAGACCTCTTAGACTCGGAGACAGAATTCTTCCAATTCAACACGGTTTTCAGTTATTCCTCGCCACGAGAAGAGAACGTTTAGACGGACTTCCAAGTGAGGCTGATGCTGTTTTAGTTCGTGTCACCCTGGGGGCTGGTACCAGAAGTCTAGCGGAGAAATTCATCGAGAGAGTGATTTTGAAAGAAACCCCTGAAATTGAAGTCCAACGAAGGGAGGCTTTAGAGAGGGAGGAGAAATTAGCTGGGGAAAGGGACGCAGCCAGACTAGATCTGCTAGTGCAGCTCGGAGCAGCCAGAGGACAGGATCTTCTACAAGAATCACAGGGCTCACAAAGTTTACTGTCTTCCCTAGAGGCAACTCAGTCGAAAGCAAAGGAAATTGCTCACGCCTTAGAGAAAAGTCGACACAGCTTAGAGGACGTAACCCGAAGAATGAAGGAACACGAAAAACTCGCTAAATTTTCCGCTAGTTTTTTCAAGTCCGTGAAATTTTTGAATTCTCTAAGTCCCTTCTACGTATTCTCCAATGAAGTACTAACCGATATTTATCTCGATGCCGAGAAGGATCGGAATTCTCTCAAGGAGGAGAAAGTCGAAAAGGATAAATACCTCGAAAAAAGGTAAATCAAGTATGAAAATTAGATGCCCTTCAGTCAATTCCGATAGGTTTTTACACTTACGGATACTCCCAATCTTAAACATTAATTAAGTATTTTCCGCAGTCTGGTGGCTCTGACCCTACAACACTGTTCGAAGACTGCGTACAGAAAACATCGACTAGCTTTGGCTCTTCATCTCGCATTGACTATTTCTCCAGTATCTGATGCTGAGAAACATTTGCTTTTGAATGGAGAAAATTTGTCTGTTAACAATTCGTCGGAATTCAAAACACCTGATTGGATACCAGAGGAAAGGAAAGTTGCTGTTAGAGCTCTCACATCGACATTGCCTCAGGTGAAATAAATTATTTACTCAAAAATATAATTAGAAATTTGTTCACTCAATTAGAATTAGAATTTCTTTATTTTGTCCTAACGAAATATTTAGATGGCGGCAAAAATGAAAGCCAGTTGGTTTGAAGATGTGGGACATATTTATGCTGAGAACACGATCAATCCTTTTGAGAAGGTGTTAGTCATTCAGGCAATTCGTCCCGATCATCTTCATGCGGCTCTTTCCAAATGGGCAGCAGATCAACTTGGTAATTTTTAATTTTCTTTCTATTTCTTAAAGAGTACTAATTTCCACATATCCTTAGGTGTCAGAAATTTAGCTCCACCTACATGGACCCTAAAAACGGTGGCAGAAGAATCGGGAACGCATCCTATTTTACTGTTACTATCACCCGGGGCGGATCCGTCACTGGAATTGAAGTCCCTTGCTGCACAACGAGTTTCACAAGCTGCGGGATTTATTGAGGTATCATTAGGCCAGGGTCAAGTGAATCAAGCCGAAGCTGCTCTTCAAGAAGCCTGCAGGTAATACTTTCTTTAAAATTCTCTTTAAGTCAAAAACTGGATTCTGTTATAAATCCGAAAAAAACTTTCCTTAGGAGTGGGAGTTGGATCCTTTTGAGCAATCTCCAATTAGCGCTAAACTGGCTCCCTCGTCTCGAAAGTTTTCTCCGATCTCCAATGTGCACCAGTGACAAAAACCAAAGTACTAGAATTTGGCTGACAACCGAGGAATGCTCAGGATTCTATCCAGGTTTAGCGGGACTTTGTCTAAAATTAGCGTACGAACCACCGGAAGGTGTCAAGAGGAACGTAAAAAAATCCCTGCAACAGTTACAACAACGTCAGACCGAATTGGGTGATAACAAAAAAATGGTTTTGTTATCCTGGTTGCATGGGATTTTACAGGAACGAAGGAGATTCGTGCCTCAGGGTTGGATCAAGGAGTACGATTGGAGTGAAGCTGATCTAGAAGCCGCTTGTCAATTGGTAGTGAAGGGAAGATCCTCGAAGGAATACGATGATTGGGAGGAGGGCAGGGGACTTTTGGACGTGGCGGTTTATGGCGGTCGTCTTCAGGACGATTATGACATGCGGGCCCTAAGGTCAATATTACGAAACATCTGGAACAAAAAAGTGTACCAAGGTCAACAAAAATTAGGCAACATTCTCAATGTTCAGGAAGCAACTCTAGGAGATCCCGTGCGTGCCATAGATCGACTCAGTGATGTCGAATCACCGCAGGATTACTTTGGATTACCCGCTAACGCTCATAGGAACTGGGAGAAGTCGGCTTCTAAAAGGACGTTAGCTCTATTGAAAGGTAAATCACCAAAAAGTGTTTTGTTTTCATTTTTATCCATCCATTCGATTTAATTTTTACCAATTGTTAAGATATAGCGATGCGAGCTTCGAGTAAAGAGGACAAGAAGCACAGGAAAATGGAGACGAAAACAGAGCGAGATTTAAAGAATCTGATTCATCAATCCCTAACAGATGTTAAACCAATCGAGGACTCGGCTCCAAATCCCCTAAGCGGTTTTTTCAAGGACGAGAGGAACTTGGCAATGAATTTGCTAAGAATCGTTCAATTCGATATTGAATCGCTTCATCTTGAAGGATCGAAGGTGGGTATTTATTTTGTATCCCTGCATTTTTGGAAAAACAAATAACCATTGATTTGTTATTAGGTTCTAAAGCGTTGGAGCAATGAATGGCCTACCGGACCATCAGAAGTAGTTCCATTTGTTAATGGACTAATAACCAGACATCAGGCCCTTTGTTCCCTAAACTCAGGTCTACCGAAAAGAGTAAATTTATTCTGGTTCACCCGACCACGAGCATTTTTAGCCGCTTTGAAACAATTTACAGCCCGAGAAACTGGACAATCGCTTGAAAATCTTCGACTCCGGGCCAATTGGTCTGAAAGTACATCACCGGAAAATTGGAAAACATCGATTGTTGTTGATGGTCTTCTCTTAACAGGTTCTGTTGTTTTTGAAATGTTTCAATATTTCAATTTTCTATACTTTGTTTCTTATGTATTAAATTCGTATTGTAGGTGCAATCATAAGAAAAGGTTTTCTGAAGGAAGTTTCCATGGATGACGCACCAGTGGTAGCAGCACCAGAATGTCAGATTGCGTATCTACCCGAAGATGCAAATTTAGACGAAATTTCCAGAGATGAAAATTTGGAGAATGAGGGAATTTTGGATGTTCCGGTTTATATTGATGCCCAGAGAAGCGTTTTAATTTGTTCACTACCTGTCGGCTGTCCTAGGGACGAAAGAGACGTTTGGCTACGTCGAGGAATTGCTTTTCATTTAACGTCCTTCTAGATTAGATGTAAATTGTGTGATCTTTCTAAAAAATTGTACATTCTATTTTTTTTGGTTTAAAATAAATATTTAGAAAAACTCAGTAACCTAGTTCTTCTCTTCAAGTAATTGGAATCAAAACTGATTGAGGAATGTGCCTTGTGGTAAGTTTGCATGAGAGTGACTGTTGTGAACGACGCTTTAGTTGCGAACAGCGCTGAGAGTGGCGAACCGGTAAACTACACTCGACGTACGCGGATGAATCATCTAGGTACTTAGGTAGTCAGTATAGTTTTTTGTTGTGACACGTAGTGACAAGAAGTAAATTTCATTTTTGAAAATAATCTGGCTTTGGTCATTAAATGACCTAAATAAAAACAAATTATATTTCATTTACTTGTTCGAAGATATAACAAACTTGTAATTTCTAATTATTCAAGACAAAAAGCGTTTTAATTTTCCACTACTAGTCCAGTCAAATTAGACGAAAAAGAAGGCATATCACGTTTTATCCCAGGACCGCAATTTTTTTTGCTTAAACCCTTCATTCTGGGGTCAAAATAAAGTGCCTAAATTTGGTACTTCGAACTCCGTTGGGAAGGCAAAAATTTTTTTTTTGCAAAATAGGTGCAAAAAATTAGTTTTTTTGAAAATTACCGCTTTCCATTACATTTTAGGGGTAAAAGGAGTTAGTATAAAAAAGAAAGTGTATAAAATTCTGATCAATTTACAAAAAAAGTGAACCTTGTAGCTCAAAAATTAACCGAGATATGCCCTCCGCAAAAAACCCGTTTTTTTCGTGATTTTAGCCAAAATTCGCTATTTTTCAGTTTTTTCAGAACTACTTTTAAAATAATGATTTTTTGAAAAAATGACCAACAGAGGACTTAAAACTGACTAAATTCCTGACAATTTGCGACAAAGAAAAACAAAATAGCTTTAGTTCTGAAAAATAACGAATTTTGCCTAATCGCGAAAAAAACGGGTTTTTTTTCGGAGGGCATATCTCGGTCAATTTTTGAGCTACAAGGTTCACTTTTTTTGTAAATTGCTCAGAATTTTATACACTTTCTTTTTTATACTAACTACTTTTACCCCTAAAATGTAATGGAAAGCGGTAATTTTCAAAAAAACTGATTTTTTGCACCTATTTTGCAAAAATTTTTTGCTTTCCCGACAAATTTCAAAGTAACAAATTTAGGCACTTTATTTTGACCCCAAAATGAAGGGTTTGAGCAAAAAAAAAATTGCGGTCCTGAGATAAAAAGTCTAAAAGTGCTAATTTGACATGGGCTATACTTATAAAAATGTGTCTTTAGAAAAAAATTTCCTTCCCCAAATGGAAAAATGAAAAACAACAGATTTGCTATCGTAAAGTGCTTTATTTTTCGTAAAATTTCATAAACTTTTAGAGACAAATTTCGTTAATCGAGGAAAATATAGCGGTTCAATATCGTATAGTAACTATAACGAGTACCATAAATAGATATAATATACGAAGTACGTTGAGATTCCATTGGAAAGTACCGAGACGATTTGTCGTCCAGCGTAAAATCTCGCCTAGTCGACAAACATTTTTAATGATAAAATGAGATAATGATTGTTCTACAAGCTAAATAAAATTCGTGATAACGAATAATTTCTTTTTTTTTAAGTTCTAAATGACAAAAAATGGCAACAATATAGTATAACATTAATAACAATAACTCTCTTTTTCTTTAAATACTTGCTAATAATGAATCGATTTTAATCTAATTAAAATTTTTTTTTTTTGTATTTCTGTACAATAAATATATCGATGAACGGATCCCTTTGTATATCACGAATGTGCAATAGAAATAATTGATTTCACGTTGCGTTTGACAATATATTTTTTTTTTGGTTCTGTTTCAGTTGAATATAACATTTTTTTTGTATTACATTCCATTTTTCTTGCGGAAAAAATATTTTATACATTTTTTTTTCTTTGATAGGAAAAATTCGGAGTGAAGGCGATCGACGATGTTTTTGAAATTGAAATTTTTTTTTTATAAACAGAGTAGAAAAGAATTTTTTTTTTTTGACCAAAGAAGAGAGTAGGTATATAATCAACTATTTTTTTTAATTAAAACGACATGGGATATAATATTTGAATAATTATTTATATTATTAACATCGCACTGTTTTGTGAGAATAATCGCAGATTTCATAAATGACGATTTAATTGGTTTTCTTTTTTTAATTATAGGTAATTTTTAATAACTATAATTTTATCAACAGGCCGCGTATTAAAATACGACAAACTTAAATTATTTGCTAAAGTTCATTTTACATTCATATCCGTTTTGGTGTTTGTCAGTTAAAGAGATATATAGAAATAGAAGGAACTCACTTTTTTTTTGCTATTATTTTTTTACTTAAAGAAAAAAAAGAAATGTTTTCCATTTTTTTCTTTTTGGGAATTTTTTTTTCAAATTCTAGGGTTTAAAATAGTTTTTTGGCAATATTCAATTTTTGATTCTTCCTTTTTGGTGAGGTAAAAACATTTGCTTTTTATTTCTTTAATGTTTCGAAAGCGAGTTTTAAAAAACGTGAAAAAAATTAAAAATATATCACAGTGGGTGTCGAGCGGGTTCATTCGAAAACCCGTAATAATTTTTTTTTCTTTTCTCATGCTTCCAATTTTTCATTCTCTCTCTCGTTCATACGCGCAGATCGCTTTTAATTATTTTTTTGACTGCGATTTTCAAAAAGTGCTAGGGCGAGCGCACTTTTCGACCCTCGCTCGTCACCCCCTTGGAGTTTTTTTTTTTTTTTTTTTGAGACGGAGGGACGAGCTATCGTTTTTGTATAATTTCTATAAATTGGAAGCACTAAATTCCTTAACGAATAATACAGAAAAAAAATTTCATTTTTAATTATTTTAAACTATGTACAATTTTTGCGAGAAATTGAAAATTTTGCGGACAAAAAAAGCAACTTTTTTTCTATTCCATCAAAATTTTGTAATGAACTTTTTCGATTTCAAATAATTTTTTCTTCTTCTGAAATCGAGAAAGCTTTTTAAAATCAGTTTTAAAAATTTTACTACGTTGCCTTCAAATAAAAATTCCTAACTTTATTCGAAATTTTTTTTCTATTTTCTGCAAAATTAAATTTTTTTTGTTCAATTTCCCTCTCGTGAATATCTCAAATTATTTTCTTTTAGCTCGTCCCGAATTCTTTACCCTGTATTAGAAGGAATTAAAGGAAATGCAGTTAGCATGCATTGTAAAATTTGTGAAAGGTGTAAGAGATCCAAAAAATACGAAAAAAAAATGAAAAAAAAACTTTTCTCTTATAAAATTCCAATTTTCAAAGTCAATAAATTCAAAAGTCAAAATTCAAAATTGAAATAGTTAAAATCCCATAAAATTAAAATAAAACCAAAAAAATATTTTCAATAGCGCAATAAACCATATTTTTTTAAAAACTAAAATCAAAAACTTACTTTTTATATGTTACATATTATTTTAAATTAAAAATTTAGTTTTTAGAAATAAAAAATATTTCAAATATGAAAAAAGTTATATAATTTTAGAATAATTTTGGACCTCTTTTTTTTAGGAGGACGAGGAAAAAATTCATTAGCGAGAGAATCGAATGATTATTTATCGATTCAAATTCTCGAGGGATTGGAAAAGAAAAATTTTCTAGAATAAAATAAATTTTTTTTTTGTTTGTTTAAAAAACGAGTTTTCGACACGAAAAATTTGTGATTGTCCTGAAATTTATTGTTTCCTAAAATTATTTTTAAAAATAAAATGAAAAGAAAATGAGAAAATTTTTTTTCGCGTCAAAATCTCGTTCTTGAGAAAGGCAATACTGTGTTTTTTCTTCTTCTTACTTTTTCGCCATTCTGACACAATTTATTTTTTTTTTTCATAATCATACGCACAGGTTTTTTTTTGCATTTTTCTTTCTTTCTCTCTTTCTTTGATCTTAATTTCGTTTTCTCATTCTTTTGCAGTCATACTTATACACATTTTTCTTTTCAATTAAAATTATTTTTTAAGAGTATTTTTTTTTTTGCATTCTCTCAAATATTTATGGCACACATTCTCCTGAATAAATATATATTTAAGTAAAACGTTTTCCATCTAAGTGATTTTAATTATAAACTACGATAATAATCGTTTAGTATATTATTTATAATGGACCATAGAAGGCATTTTTCGTTAATTACTCGCAAAAAATTAATTAAGTTTTCTATTATTATTATTTATATTATATACGAGAGCGCGCACATTTTGCGCTCAGTGTGTGTGTGTGATGTGAGAGTACAGTTTTGTTTTTGTTTCTTAAAGATATAATATTTATAATAATATCATGCGTATTTCTAATAATAGTGATAATTTGCACCGATCGGTATAAATTTTATTAATTCTTTTCTATTTTCACTATAATTATAAACAATTTTTCTTTTTCAATCAATTTTTGTTAATATTAAAATATATCTTATTAACACTTAAAATAAAATTTTTATAATTAACTTAATTAACAAATTAATCAATATCTTTACTTAATTAACAAAATTATTCAATTTATTTACTTAATTAATAATTAATAAATTAAAAAATTAATAAATTTAAAATAACTCAACATAAATTAATAAATTACTTAACCTAATTAGGTAATCTAATTAATATAATGAAAATATATTTTTAAACTCTTTCTATTATTTGACAGTTTTCTATAGTTATTTATAAACTTTGTACAGCTAAAACTAAATCACAATTCTGAAATTCTTTTTAAATCACATTTTTGGAATTTATAATAGTCATCATTTTATCTTATAATTTTTCATTGCATTTTTTCTTAAATTTCATATACTTTTAAAATCCCTTCCCTTCTAATATAATTAGATGTATTTTTAAAATTTTATTCAATATAAATAAATAAAATTTATACCGCTCGACAGTTTTAATTTGAAGGCTTTATTATTTATATTAAAAAGTAATTTTCATTTTTAATTCGATATGATGCGTTGTATCTAATTTAGAAAAAAGAAAACAGTGATTTACAACTGTCCTGACACATTTAACGTCCATGATAACTCGTTTTTCATTTTCAATAATTTGGGAAAACGTTGAAAAAATCTTGGCACAAATTTGAGTCAGTTTTAAAAATTTTTTTTCTGTACTTTCTGTTGAAGTGTTAAATAGAATCAATAGTCATCGAACCATTCAGTTAAGAAATTAATTTTTCGTTTTCTTAGCTAATTAAATTAACTATTCAGTTCAGTAATTAACTAGATATTTATGTAATTATTTAAGTAATTAATTAACTAGATATTTATATAATTATTTAGGTAATTAATTAATTAGTTAACTAATTAAAAACAAAATATTTATTGATAAACAATTAACCATAAAGAGTAATAATAATAAAACTAATTGACTATTAATTTAGTTATTTATAAAATTAATTATCTGTTTTCAAACAGTTAACTGTAATTAATAAAATAATAACATTTTTAATGAACCAATTGAAAAAGTTTTGCATCGTTTTCCTGGAGAATATTTGATATAAATGAAAAACGAGAGACATCGACGCTTCACTCTAGTTTCCTAAGTACAATTGTGGCATTGAAATGTACGCTAATTACAGTAATTAACGAGAGTGTTGCGATGCACTTTCGTGGAAAAGGAAAGAAAAAAAAAAGAAAAATAATAATTCCCCCTTCATTCTGCGTTCGTTGGTCTTATTATAGAGATTTAAAGATAATAATTATAGCATAAAACCCCCTACAGTCTGCATTTCGTCGAATTGTCACAAAAACAATTATTTTAAATATTTATCTCTATATATATTTATATAGGACATTTGGAAATTACTTGCACGATTCCCTACGTAGGCTGATAATAAATAGTACTCTTAATTAGATTGATTAGTTAGCAATAGTAATAATAGTAGTGGCGATAGACCGCCCTCTAAGAACTAATTGGTGTTAGTACGTTGATCCCCATGTTTTTCTTTTTGGTTCCGAATAATTTTCTCTCTTTTTTTTAATTTCTTCCATTAAACTTCATTTTTAATAACTAGCAAATAGACATATGTAAATTCTATGTATATCCTTTCTTTTTTAAGGAAAGGATATTTAATTTTTTTTTCATCCAATGTACATTTTTTTTAATACTTTTTTTCTATCCAACTATTTGTTTTTCATCCAACTTTGTAGATTTTCTTTTGGTTCACTTTTTCAATTCGAAATGACCAACGAACTTCTATATCGAATCCCCAAAAATAGGATTAGAGAGAGAGAGACAGACATTTGTTCGAAAATAAAAGTTTTTTCCTTGATATCAGAATTTTTGGAAACAATTTTTTTTTGTTTTGGTGCAGTTAAAATTTGTTTTGGTGAATTATTTATAAAAATTCATTGAGATAAATACATTTTTGTTCGATTTCTAATTAACTTTTGGTGCTTTTTAGTAAAAATGTGATTTTATTGTTCAGTTGAACATTTTTTTAGGTCTTTAAAAGAATATGATCTTCTTAGTGGGATTTATATATTACAGTTTCTCAAAAAATCGAGAATAATTGAATTTTCGATTAGAGTAATAATTAATCAATGATTGAAAATTTAACTACAAAGTTTTGGTGAATATTTTTGTAATTCTCCATCTACTTTAATAATATTGAAGATCTTTTTGACACTTTCCATTTACCACAATTTTTTGAATTCTACATTAGAGAAAAATTTCTGATTTATTAATAATTTGAGAATTTAGAATAAAAAATGTAAATTCTACCCTCGAATTTGTTTAAACAAAACTTTTCTTTTGTCCCCCTGTAATCAAAATTCCACTAAAAAGAAAATATCAATTATTTTTTTCTGCAAACAAGACATTAGAAATTGTGACAACACAGAAAAAACCTGGATTCATTTTGAGCATAGATTTCTTTCAAAATGAACTATGTATGATATAAATAAATTTTCGTATTTTTCTTCTAAACAAATTCTTCTTGAATTGACTTTTTTTTTAAGGTTATGTTAAAAATTTCAAATTGAAATCACTCTTCATGAGTGATTTTCCCCAACAGAAAAACCTAAAATTCTGAAAATTTTTAATACTTTAATACTCAATTTGAGTTGCGACAAAAATGAGCCCAGATTTTTCCACGTGATAAGTATTGTTCATTGTGAGAATGAGAAAAAGAAAAATTTTGCCAATATAACGATTTCTTGGCATTGCGCAATAATTTTTTTTTTTCATTTTTGGTTTAACCAACAAACGTTGAGAACGTTTTTGTTTTTGCTATTTTCAAATAGCCTACAAAAAAGAGCGATTGCAATTTTTATCTAAGAATTCGGAATATCACGATTATCCCGTCACATAGTAAAAGATTTTTTTTTCCTTTTGACTTAATGCGACGTATTAGAAGAAAAAAAAAAGTCGAAAAATTTTTTTTCTTACTTTTTTTCTAATACTAATTATTCTTCACACGATTTGAAAATTTTTTTCCGTTTACGCTCGCGCGCAAACTTCACGAGGTCATGGAAGATTGTCCACGTCTCCAGTTACCATTTGGAATTGTTCTTGACCTGAAAGAAAAATTTGTTTAAATATCTATTTAAGAAAGAAGTCTTCCGATTGGAGTGATTGGTCTGTGAGAAGTTGCGCGCGCAGTTTTCGAGGAGTGGGGAGCTGTCTCCCCACTCCTCGAAAACTGCGCGCGCAACTTCTGATGGTCCAATCACTTCGATCGTAATTCACCTTCACTCCTTGAAAGTTGCTGAGTATTTTAACGCAATGGTCATGGTAAGAATGTTTTTTTTGGAAGGAATGTGGTTTTTTGGCTAGAGGGCTTTCATTTTTCTGAATATAATTAAAAATTAGTAATATTGTAAATTTTAGAAACGCACTATGAAGATAAGCGGCAAGTTCACGATCATCGGCACTTATAGCGATGTCCCTTGGTAGATTGCCTTTTCGATCCTGAAGAGTCAAATTGGCACCGCCTGCTACTAACATGCAGCAAATTGAACGAAATTTGCTCTCGGCTGCTTTGTGAAGGGCAGTTTGTCCCCTAGAAAATTGAAGTCACAATATTTAGTTTAAATTGGATGAAAAAAAAATTCATCAATGATTGCAAAAAGTACCCACTTGTCATTATCAGTCATATTGATAATTGAGGGTGGAGCACAAGCAATGAGGTATCTGACGATATCCCTGTGACCAAGGCACGCAGCCAGATGAAGGGCAGTTTGGCCATTTGCATCGGTTGTCAGTAGTGAGAATCCCTGATTGTGAAGTGCCTTCAGAGTGGGGAGATCACCCATTTTTGCCGCTCGGATCACAGCGTCATTTGGCTTTGACGTCAGTCCAGGATGAAACATGTGAACCTCGGAATCTAGACTAAACAGTCTATCCTGCGAACTGGAAAGGGAATTTAAGATACTTGACGAAAAATGGAAAATATTTTTTAAACAAGAATTAACAATTAAGAGGGCACATCTGGTAGCAGCAAATTTAATTTTACGCATCAGTAACATCTTTGCAATTAGGTTCAGGATTTGATGATACTGAGATGTAACCGAAGAGCTCCCAACCATCAAAGTTAGATAGTCAGTAGTTTTTATTCCTTGCAATTAGAAGTGCCCCCAATGAAAATTGTTTAATACAAGTAGAAGAAAATTGAGAAAAAAAGAACAAGGCGTCGATTAATAAACAAACCTTATGAAAGAAGTTGAATTGTGCGACTGACCAGCAGCCAAATAGGACTTGGAGGAGCTCTGCTTAGATGGTCCTTGGGGAAATCTATCTTCATTCTCATAATCCCTCGTCGTCGAAAGATGGGAATTCCTCGACGCCTGTCTACTTTGCTCACGAATTTTCGAAACCGATTCCAGCCTCGAAACTGATCTATTTTCTGAAATCGGTTCCGGAATTGATGCCTCACGGGATTTACTATCTGGACGCATCTTCTCGTCCGTTACCGTTCTATTAACTTTCATCCGACTTTCACTGAAAAGAACTTTTTATTTTTAGTTCCACATTATGATCTCACTTGCAATTTTCTGAAATTCTTTTACTTATAAAATAAATAAAAATTAATTCATACATTTCCAAACGTTAATTATTTATAAATTATAAAATTAATTTAACAATTTTTTAATATAATTACAAACTAATGATTATTAATTACGCAAGAGAGTGAAGAAAAGGTCGAAAATTAACGAGCCAATAAAGCGGGAACGTGTTTATCCAAACAGATCAATCATGCAATTTGTCAGTGAGGAAAACAATCAATCAAAATTTATAACAACCGGATATTTATCAGTAAGGGAAATGATAAAGTTTCAATTCAAGGATATGAAAATATAAAAATTAACAAACCTTGCTAATCGTTGTGAATTCGTTGCACTCTGTGATTTGTGTCCCGTTTCCTGATGAGAGGAATTTTCCTGAAGAATGTAAACAGCTTCAACAGCAACGTCCGTAACGTAATGCAATTGCTCTTGAGCTTTATCTATCCTGAAGAACCTTTCAGCTGTACAAGCTGAAGTTTTTGAAAAGAAAATAATGCAATTCATCACTAGAAATTAGTTACAGAGACTTAATTGTGCAATTAATCAATTTTATTGATTAGCTTATGTAATTAATCTTCCACACTTAATCGAAAATCCAATTTGCAATTATCTAATACACAAAAACCTTCTTGGCTTTTTAATTAATTAATCCTCTATTTACTATAGGTTTGAAAATCCTCTTTGAAATTATCTAATTAATTGTCTAAATCAAATTTTGCACTTTGTAATTATCTAATTTTCATCTAATTAGATGAAAACCGAAAATCTATATAACCGAGAATTTATAAAGTTAATAACGTATTCAATATATATTAGTCTTAATAATTCCGTCTCTGTAAACTATATTTACCCCAAATTGAATATTTCCATTTTTTTCAGATAAATTAACAATCAATTCAATTATCAAACCAGATCATGTGAACTAATAGTCTCTCAATATCAGCATCTAGGAGGAGTAGTTTCAATTAAATTAATTATCTAAATCCAATTCTCTCGAATAACCTTCTCAATTTCTATCTTCGAGAGTCGGTGATCGATTACTTTTCATAATCAGTTAATTCATTTTTATTTAGATAGTTTCAAAAAAAAAGTTTGATTTCGGAAATTCATTCAGCCAGAGGGTCGTTTAGACTCTAATTTTTTTTTATTTAATTTGATTCAAAAAAGGAAGTAACTTACAATCTAGGAAACAACACGTGTCCATGGGATGATCCTTGGCTAATAGATTCCTTAGGGATTCAAGATCAGTAGTGGCATCTAAATCGAGTGGATCAGCCAACCATTGAATTGCAGTCATTTTCAGTCTCTCCTTATCAGAATGGAAGGTTTCGTAGTCTGACATCTTTATCATCATCACTGGTAACTTGAGTCTCTCCAATTTTGCAACATACGGCTTACCGGAACTCCTTCTTTTGGCCAACATTGTCGCCCTATTCAATAGACTCATATTGATGATTGATGGCAATAAACGACACGCCTCACCGTCCACCTTCACAGAAACGAAGGGAAAAGATGAAAACTTTTCAAAACTGTACAACTTTAATGTAGTAAATTTAAAATAAGCAGAAGATTCGATCCTTTGGAAGGAAAATAAATCTTTAGATAGATGAAATAATTTTTCAAGGTGATATAGATGTTCGTCGATACTTTCTGATTGCAGCATATCGTCGATATGAAAGTGATCATAAAATCGTCTAAACCGTATAATACCTGATCTAATGCTCTAACTAATGCACTTGTACTCATGTACACCCGGAATTGTTGTAAGACTTTTGCCATCAAATTGTAGTTTTATTCAGATTTTCTTACGTTTGGATAATATAGATTTTAAAAATGAGAAATAAAATTACAAATACCTGCATGGGAATTGTTCTTGTGGTAACGAGTTTGGCCTTACTGCATTGCGCAATACTTGTCCCATGACCACCGGCCTGAAGAAGTGGAAGCTGATACGTCGTGAGACCCACGACCTCAATGAGACCATCATCAGTCGATGGCTCTTTGCCGATTCCACCTCCCCAGGGATGTGTTCCACCGCCGTACGAAGCGATATTCAAGAATACGATAGCGTGAACACGATGCTCCTTTAATTTTGGGGTCATGTCCGTGCCGTCACACTCCAAGGTCACAAATTCCGAGAGATCCTTCCATTTTCTACGCACCAGATCCTTACCACCCATTTGTCCATAAAACATTTTGTTCCTTAATCGTGAATTGAACCTCTCCGGATGTGCCTCTGTGGGGAAAAAAAAGCAGGAGGATCCCATCAATATTCCATACTCTCATTCTCAATTCCTATCGGGATGTTTCCTTTTTCGCAAAATAAATAAATTAATATTATATCAAAAACGGACCCGCTATAAATTTTCTTTCAACAATAGTAATTCCCTTACGAAAAGAAAAATAATGTCATTTTATTAAATTGGGTAGTATTAAAATAAAGTGTTCATCCTTTCTCTTCGCAAAATGATGGTAAAATTTCTTTCCGTTAATTAATCTAAAAAAAATTGTTGTATATATCGATATTCCATTGCTAATAGCACATGAGCATGCTATCATTTTTAAAAAGCAATTTTTATCTGTTTCTACAGTATCGTTAACATTGGAATATACATTTTCCCTCAAATCATTTATTGATTTATTTCTAGTATCACATTTGAATGATTGCAATTACTGTTGGAGTGGTCGACCCTCGTCATGATCCACTTTTATAAAATTTCAAACAAGTGGGAATTATCGGTATAATTAATTATACCATCTAAAATGAAAATCTAATTACTTTATATAGTTTAAAAGGAATATTTGATAATTTCTAGAGATTTATCAACTCTGATAAACTAATGAGCACACTGCATAAGTTTTAATTTATAAATTTAAATTTTGCTTGACTATACAATTTTTCTACTATAATAGTATCAGATTTGTTGACCTAATTCTAAAATTGAAATACAGGGTAAATTCTTTTAAATTAAGTCGCTGTAAACTAAAGGATGTTCTTTATGTGAGTAACTAAATATAAAGTACTTCCGTGAGAGTTTGAATAAATATTGGAAACTCATAAAAAAAGGAGCATCTTGATCGGTTCGACTAGAGACCATTTTACAAGTATTTTAACTTCAAAGGGAAAAGCATTAAATTGACAGGTTAAAAAAAAAGTAACCCCTCTTCTCTTTGGATGTATAACATACAAAATATTTCATGAGACAACTCTATTTGAAGATTAATTACACCTTTAATAATTGATGAAGCGAAAAGGTTTCGAGTCGTTAAACCACTCCTTCCCAATCCCTTCCCACAAAACCCAGTCAATTTCCTTCGATCTAGATTATTAAAGGACGTTCCGATTACAAAGTCGAAGAAAAGATATCCCAATGGCGCACTTTAAATGGGAAAAATGTGGAGTAGGGAGTAAAGTCGATATTACTTATTCACCTCTGGCCTCATGGAATTCAAGAGCAATGTGAGCATCAACCCCAAGGGAGTAATAGTTGTTAACGACATTCAAGGGAAGATTCTCCTTGCCCTTGCTTGCGTCTTCGTCACCCTTCGCATCCGGATTTCTCTCCACATCTAATTGCCATCTGTCCAGTAAGGTGCTTTCACTCTCGCCAATGTTGCTTAAAATTTTACTTATTGGTTCATCGGTGTAGCCACCACCCCAGCCAAGTGCCCTAGCGAGATCGTTTCCAGTGCCCAGGGGTAATACGCCCACCGCTGGCGATGGATTCACACCAATTTGATCCAAAATTGACAGTACCCAACCGACAGTACCATCGCCACCGCATGCGAGAACCCGTAGATTCGGCGTCTTTTGAAATAGTTCCAATCTGACAATACAAGAAAAAAGCAAGTAATTAATAGAAAAGTAACTGAAAATAATTTATGAACAAAAACAGCAAAGTATTCTTGTTGTTACACTTTCTTATTATAAAATATTTTCTTATTATTTCTCTCTTTAGCCATAGTAATTTTTCCTTTCTCATGACAACCATATACAAAGCCAAGTTGGCTACATGTAATTTTTACTTTAGGTTAAAAAAATGGTAGATAAACTTTAATATCCAAAGTCTCGTTAAGAATGTTTACCCAACCTTAGCTTCCATTTGATCTTGAAAAATTCCCAATGTCCCCCACGTTTTTAAATGTCGTCTTTTGTCTACTTTTTAGTAAACGAATGACCCTGACCTAAAAATCTTTTCAAAACCAAAAATTTGCCTCTTTTTTGAATAAAAGACCACAAAAATGAGAAATGGAATAATTAATAACCTCATTTTTAGAAGCGGTGGAAAATGTCGACTAGAATATTATAGAAGGGATCGGGAATTTTTTCTCGCTTATAGAAGTTTCTCTTCATTTATCGCAGTTTCTCTCTATAACATAGATAACGATTTCTGTCGCTTAGAGAGGTTTATAAATTAATATTGTTTGTTAATTAATTCAATGAATGAATGTACTATAAATAAATCTTACACTTTGTGCCTAAACTTAAATATTTTATTTATTTTTAAAGAAATCGGTAATTTCTGTTTCCTTTTTATTTTTATGATAAATTTTATAAAAAAGTAACTTAAATACTACATTAGCCGAAAATTTAAAAAATCGATGGATGGTATTTAATGCTTTTAAAGTCTGCTGTGGAAAAGGTTTAAGTTTATGAACTATCAGTAAAGACATCGTCATTTCTGTCACAATTATTAACCATATCTTCATGTCATCTGTCAGTTCTCCTGCAACCATCACATTGTCATTAAAATCTTATGAATTCTTCAAAAGTTGGAGTTTCAATATCACTCTCGGTAGTTTTTAATAATTCGAGTAAAGGAAAAATTTCTTCTGCATGATTTTTTGAAAATTTTCTACAATAAATAGAGTCTAAAAATCTTCTCAATTCTTTTAAAATTCTAAGTCGAGAAAAATCATAAATGTAGGCTTCGCACTCATCTACTAAAACCTACTATTTACTACTTTTTTTACGTCATGCTACTATTTGGGTACTTTTTTTTTACATTTCAGCCACTAAAAGCTACTTAATTCTGTTTTTTTAGAATTTCCACTTCTTTAAATCTGCTAACACTAGAAATCAAAAAACTCTTCTCAAAAATTATAATCAAATTCTTTGAAACGATTCAATTATTTTCCAAAATTATAGTCATATTCTTTAAAATGATTCAATTATTTTTAATATCTAGTATTTTCATAAATTTTTTTGCAATGGAATTTAATTATTTTAAAAAAATTGATAAAATTTATCCAAAATTCAATTATTTTCATAGATAATAAAATTTCCACAGGATTTCAATTAATTTAGAAAAGCATTTTACAAAAAATTGCGAAACAACCGCAGTTATTTAACAAAACTTTTAAACAATTCTTCAAAATAATTCAATTACTTTCACTAATAATAACATTTTTCATCATCTTAATATTTTATCGACCGAGTGATAGCATCATTACTATATATATTTTTCATTGAAATTCAATTATTTAAAAAATTTTTTAATAAAATTACAAGCAAGAATTGAATTATTTTTACAAATAATAAAACTCATCGAAGAATTTCAATTATTTTCACAAATAATAAAACTCCTCGAAGAATTTCAATTATTTTTGAACTATTTTAAATTAATTAATAGAAAAATTCAATTATCTTCACAAATAAAATTTTCCACATGAATTCCATTATTTAAAATAAAATTTTCAAAATATTTATTATATATTTCGAAAAAATTAATTATTTAAAACAATGTTTATAAAATTCTTATAAAGAATTCAATTAATAAAAAAACCAAATTTTTTCGCAATAACTCAATTATTTTCATAAGTAATCAAATTCTTCTCAGGAATTAAATTATTTTTAAAAATTTTAATATAATTCTTTGCAACTGTTCAATTATTTTCATAAATAATAAAATTCATTGCAGAAGTTCAATTATTTTTATTATAATTTTACAGGAATTGCTCGAAAAATTTAATTATCCTTAAAAATTGAATTTCAATTCTTCGAAAAAACCAATTATTTAAAAAAATGTTTTTTTTTAATTCTTTGGAAGAATTCAATTTTTTACATAAAAATATGAGAATTTCTAACAGAAATTCAATTAATTTCGAATATTTTAATAAAATTGTTCGAAAAAAATCAATTATTTAAAATTTAAATACAATTTTAATTAATTTTTTTGAAATAATTCAATTATTCTTTAAGATTATAATTAAATTCTTCTCAAGAATTCAATTATTACATAAATAATTCTTCGAAAGAATTTAATTATCACTATAAATAACAAAATTATTCCCGATAATTCAATTATTTTAAGGCATTTTAATAAAATTCTTTGCAAAATTGAATTATTTTCATAAATAACAATATTTATCACAAGAATTCAATTATTTTTAAAGTAATACATTTTTTTTTTGGAAATTCAATATTATTTTAAAAAATTTTAATAAAATCATTCGCAAGAATTCAATTATTGATAAATATATTAATAGAATTCTTTTGTAAAATTTAATTATTTTTAAAAACTTTTTGCAATTCAATAATTTTATCTACTATTTTCATAAAATTTTCAAACAGAATTCCAATTATTAAAAAATTTTTTTGTAAAAATCTTCGTAAGAATTTAATTCTTTTCGCATGAATAATAAAAATTTCTCAAGAATTCAATTTTTTAAATTAGAATTTGCATAAAATTAGTCGAAAGATATGAATTAATTTAAAGATTTTTATAAAATTCTTCGCAAGAATTAAATTATTTTTATAAATATTTAAATTCTTTCATGAATCATAAAATTCGTTGTAGGAATTCAATTTATTAACAGGATAAGAAAGAAGTAAATATTTTTGATGAAAATTAGGAAAATGTAAGGAAAATAAAATATAGAATAGAATTCTTGTCAGTTTTGTGACGTGCCTAACATAATTTTTGTTTGGTCGTCAAGTTTAATTATTCGATAGCTACTTTTTTTTAATTTGAAAGATACTTTTTAAAAATTAATTATCGAGTGCGAAGTCTGGTGAATGGCTTTTATTTTATCTGGATCTGGTCTTATTCCATTTGCAGTTTTACTTTTGGACGAAAGAATGATATTTTTGAAAATTGATGATTGGGTCAAGTTTCTCAAGCGATGAATATAATTTTTCAAGGTGATATATAGATGTTGGTCGATACTTTGTGAATTGTAATGTACACAGTTTGTCGTCGATGAAAGTGAAGATAAAATCGCCTAAACAGTGCTATTAATAATATTGAAATTTAAGTTTAAAAAAAATAATTTTATTCTTACCCCATTCTTGGTCCTCCTTGGGTAAGATCAAAAACCTGTCGTGGATTTAGAAGCCATTGGAATTTTTGCAAAAGTTTCGAACCCTGATTCCCACCAGACTTGGGATTTATGAAGACAATAACTGGTTTAACGGTGGTTGTTGGAATGGGCTTGATGATCCAAAATTTTTGCTCCTTCTCCTTTTCATTCTTCTCCTTATCGTCCTTGTTGTCCTTATCCTTTTCCTCCTTCTCTTTGTCCTTAGTTTTTCTTCGACTCGAGGCACCAGCAGAACTTCCAGCTGATTTTTTTTTACGTGGCGATTTACGTAGACTACTTTTGAAGCTACCCTTTTTAGGTAATTTCACTATCCATGAGGGTGGAACAATAATCGATGAATTTGTGCCAAGTTCGCAATTCTCTCCAACACGATCGACATTAAAACATGATTCCTTATTGTGATAGGCAGTCTTACACCAACTACAACTCACAGCAACAATCTCTTTTGAAGAGAAACTTAGTTTTGACTGGAATGATTTGCCGCAATTGGAGCATTTACCCTTTTGTGATCGTCTATGCACCCAATGATGTTGGGTTTGTGTTTGTTCACGATATTGTCTCACTCCAACATCACGAAAACTCGACTTACAGGCGAAGTTCAAGTGCTCAAAGCAAAGCACGTGGGTGACAACTCTACACGCTGCGCACTTCATTCGTGGTCCGTGTTTCTAAAAAAAATAAACAATTCATAAAAAAAATTTTTCACACATGAATTTTTATTTCAAAGAATTTATATTTTATATTTCAAAAGTAGAGAAGAAAAAGAATGTGTAATCTTGCGGTTTGGTTTTACGTCAGAATTTGCTAAAAAGTTTTTAAATATTTCAGTAAGGAAGAAAATATGCAAACAACGTTTACTTGGAAGAAAAGAAATTATTCATACTTTTAATGATGAAACGAAATAAGTTTTCGAGAATTAGAGCATATACTTAGAATAGAGACACGCAGAGGGATGAACTTATTTTACGGAAAATGGAACGTAGAAGCCACCTGGGAGTCGTTTCATTAAAACTTGAGTCAACATGGCGGTGCTCGTATTTAAAATGTATTTTGAGGTGCACTGCATTAAACATCATCTTCCTCCAATTGTTACGACTCCATAAATCCACAACAACTTTACGTGCCTCACAAATTTTCTAAATGCATAAAATACCGCCACTGAATTTTAAAGTTGAAAAACTCTTCCCCACTGTGTTTGTGTTTGGCACAAATGGAAAAATGTTTCCAATTAAAATTTTACTGGTCCTATTATTAACAGGGTATCTACAACACCTGAAAACCGGTAAATATCAGGGAAATTCAAAATGTCCTCGAAAATCGAGAAATGTTAGGGAATTTTTTCATCATGACTTGAAATACTCTTGAACAATATTTTTAATGCCCACAATTAGTTTTACAAATTTTTAGTAAAAAAATTAATAGTAATAATTAATGTTGCCTTTCCAATTTGCAATTTCTCTTCTATTTAGATACATAATATGAACCACAGACATATAATCAAATAGAACAAGATTGACCACTTAAAATTCTGAAAGATCAGAAGAAAAGCAGAAATAATGGCATTGAAAAAAATTATTTTCGTAAAATAAGTCAATTTTTTTTAAATACATAATTCAGGATCCGTAATTTGATTGAAAGAGGACGAAAAGTTTGTAAATTCTATATACGATATAATTTGGGGAATTTTAGAGAAATTAAAAAAATGATTGCAGAAATTCAATTATTTTCAAAAATTTTAATAAAATACTTGGCAAAATTTCAATTATTTTCAAAAATATTTCTCATTTCAATGTTTTACTTCCTCATAGAGGAAGTATTTCAATATCTTCTATTCTAATAAACATTTTTTATTAAAAAAGGAAAAGAATCTAATTATTTAAAAAAATTTTAATTATTTTCATAAAATAATAATAACATTTCACAGGAATTCAATTATTTACAAATTCTTTATAAATTTCTTAGCAATAATTCAATTTTTTTATTTTCATAAATAATAAAATTTTTACTGAGATTCAATTGTGTGGGGCTGAATGCTATAAAGCGGAATAAGCGCCATTCATTTAACATTGCGCGTATCCCCATATAGTATTCAGCCCCTTAATTATTTTCGTAAATAATAAAATTCTTTTTAGAAATTCAATTATTTTCATAAATAATAAAACTAATCAAAGAATTCCAATTATTTTTAATACAATTTCAATCGAATTCTTCAAAAAGTGTAATTATTCTTAAAAATTTTAATAATATTCGTCATCATAATTTAATTGTTGGTAAAATTTTTTACGAAAATTCAATCTTATGAAACATTTAATAGTTCAATAAATTATTTATTTTTGAATTTAAATAATTGAATTCTAATAAAAATTGATTAGAAAATGAATTTCAGTTAAAATTTAAGATAATAAATAATTGAATATTAAAAGCAATATAGCGTGAATTTTTATAAATAATTTTGAATTTTGAAATTCATTTTTTTTGAAAAAGGTTAATTGAATTTTTTTTATATTACAAATTATTGCAGAAATTCAATTATTTTCAAGAGTAATAAAATTCTTCGCAGAAATTTAATTTTGTTTAAAAATATTAAAACTCATCTTAGAGATTCAATTATTTTCACAAATAGTAAAACTTATTATCGCAGCAGTTCAATTATTTTTAATACAATTTCAAACAAATTCCCTTGAAAAGTCTAATTATTTTGAAAAATTTTGTTAAAATTCGTCAAGAGAATTTACTTATTCAAAAATTTATTTTGATAAAATTCTTTACGAGCATTCAATTTTAAGAAACATTCAATGAATAAATTATTTATTTTTGTATTTAAATAATTGAATTCCAGTAGAATTTTCTAATAAAAATTTATTTAAAAATGAATTTTAGTTAATATATTTTACATAATAATGGAATATTAAGAGCATTTTAGGATAAATTTTTAGAAATAATTGAATTTAGAAAAGGTTTTATTTTAAAAATTAGCAAAATCTTAAATATTTTCAAAAATTTTCTTGAATTCAATGATTTTCAATATCTCTTATTTTAATCAAATTTTCTAAAAGAACTCAATTATTTAAAATAAATTCAATTATTTTCATTAATAATATTTTAATTCAATTATTTTTATGAATAATAACATTTTTATAGGGATTCAATTATTTTTAATAGAATTTTAATCGAATTTCTCGAAAAATCTAGTTATTCTTAAAAATTTTATTAAAATTCGTCGAAAGAATTTAATTATTTAAAAATTTGTTCATAAAATTCTTTATAAGAATTGAATTTTAAGAGACATTCAATTATTCAATGAATTATTTATTTGCATTTTATTTGTATTTAAATAATTGAATTCCATTAGAATTTTCTAATAAAAATTGATTTAAAAATGAATTTAAGTTCCAATTTTAGATAATAATTGAATATTAAAAAGCAATATATTTAATTGACTAATTTACGAATTATTGAAATTTCGTAAAATTGAATATTGCAAACAAAAATGGATTTGAGAATTGTCAAAGAACTTTTAGTTAAAGAATTTTAGTTTAAAATTCTTGAAAATAATAATTGAATTAAAATGATAAAAATAATTCTGAAGAAGTACAATATTCTTATAATATAAAATAATGACTTTATCTTTCGGATATCTTTAATTATTATGTTCTGTTTGAGCCATAATAATATTTTCAAAAATGTTCATTTCTTATATTCATATTTTATAACATTGGTGACGTTTACAATGATTTAGATGAAAAAATAATTTTCTATTCAAACTTTTGTCTTAATAAAACTTTTACAATGTTTCTTGTACAAAAAGTTAAGAAAGAAAATGTTGTAAACGTAAAATATTGTTTTCTGAGTGAAAAACAGTTTTTTTCTTTAAATCGTTGATGAAAAACGTTGTGAACTTCTCCCACGTCATTATTATAAGTGTTATCAAATAAAATTTAAGCAATGCAATTTTTGTAACCCCTTTTATATTACATATGTCGATTCTTAAAACCTGGAAAAAAATTTTAGAAGGCCTGGAAAACCTTGAAATTTTAGGAAAATTATTTTCAGATTAGTTGTAGACACCCTACTGATTATTAAAATATTTTATTTCTAATATCAATAGTTCGAAAGAGTTCAAAGATATCGAAACGAACAAAAATAAAAATCATCTTGTAAAAACTTAATTTATAAATAAAAGTTCTATCGTTCAAATGATAATTTACATATATATGCGAGATAATAACTATGCGAACGTTTAGAAATTTCAACAGTTTTGCCACGCTGTTTAACATCTAAGATCGTTCATTAATCATACCGCCCTCGCCGGCCTTTTATGTCAGAGGACGGTATTTTAAATGAAAAAGGACATATATACATATAATTGCTTTTGATCGTGTCGTTAGTCAAAAGATTCACGTTTTTCGTATATTCTAAAGTCGCTCCTCTTTTTTTTTCTCTTATAAAAAAAAAACTGGGGCAAGTGGACAGAAGCAATTTTGTTTTATTTATAGCGTCCGTTGAAAGATAACGATTAGAGGAGAAAACCGATTCACTCTTCAATTAAAAAACCAAAAATAGAAAATTTCGTTCGGAGGATTATTGTATAAGCGGAGAAATGTTTGTGTATGTGGAATGAAGGAAGAGATAAGGCACAAAAGAGGATAAAGATAAGGAAGCAGAAGAAAAAAAAAAGGTTCCCGTAGAGTGGTGGAAAAAAATGTACTCTCGGGGATTTAAAGTGCGCATCGATAATGGAAAATTTGTCAAGGACAAAAATTTAGGAGAATTTCTCCTAACGAAGCGCACCAATCGTGCACGACTTCCCCCACCACTCTTCTAGCTTTGACCAATCGTGTTCATTCAAATTGCAGCGTCTCCCCCACCACTTCACATGGACCAATCATTTAAAAAATATTTAATTACCGAAAAATGGGCTATACCTCAAGTCATTTACGAAAAAGAAGAGAAGAAGAAGAACGCAGGTTCACTCCAAAAGAAAACAAAGTATTTAGAAACGAAATCTAATTTTATTTATTTTTTTCTAAAAATGTAACACCGCTCTCATTATATAATATCGAATATTCCAGAAAGCTTAAATGATTTACTAATTAGAGAGGAAATTAGAGGTAAAAGGAGATTGTAAATTAATGCATAAAATCAACAAAGCTAATTAATGGAAATCTCAGTACTTACAGAGCAGTCGTTCACGTAACATAAATCCCCGGATGCTGCGGTTGGTGCCCAAAGATGTTCTCCGTTAACTGCAGCAGGACCCCAGTCGGGAGTTGATCGCGGTTCTTTGTGACTACTACTTGATCCACCATCCTCTCTCCCACTAAAAAGAGAAAGGGCAAATTTTCGATTAGAACATAATTTTCCCCCAAAAAAATGCAACTTTAACGGTTAGGCCACTGTGAAATTTTCAAAAAATCGAAAAGTTTTTTATTGGCTTAAAAAATTCTTTAAGAGAACAAAGATTACTTTACATTCTATTTTTTTGTTTTTCTAAATGCCTGCCAGCTATACTCCGAAACGACTACCATGTAAGTTATAATAATAAATAAAGAATAAAATAAAAAAAAATAATAAAATGATGATGTATTTCAAGATTAGTGTCCAACTTTTTTCCAGAAAAAAAATTGCAAACAAATATGTTTAATTCTAGCATCCCACAATGGCCTAACCCTTTAAATTTCGTTTTTTTGTCGATAACGGTAATTAGAGTAGACAAGGGTTAATTTTAATAATTTTGATAATAGTTATAAATATCAATTAATTTTTATCGCAGTTTTTCCAAGATACTCAAATCAAGACCATTATTATAGCATCAAACAATTGCATCGCAACAATTTTTAAACTTTTTTTTGTCTCATTTTGATTCAATAATTGATTGATAATTATTTTCATTTTCAACTTGAATAATAAATTTAATAATTTATCTTCTCTTGGAAGATAAATTTACAAAAGGGTTAATGATTTTACAACTACCCAACCCTGCTAGTTGAAACTTACAACCTCTTTGTTGACTACCCAACCATGCTAGATTTTCAACTTCTCGGTTAACTACCCAACCCTGCATGTCTGTATAGGTTAGAAAAATGATTCAGTTTGATCGTTTTCATTAACCCTACCAATCATTGGAAGGGAAGAAGAGGAAGAAGTTTGATCGTTTTAGCAGCGTTTACAGTATTTATTGTAAGTAATAAAATTAATTTCTTATATTTATTTTAATTAAAATGAGAGAATATATATTTGTGGCCTATTTGGTCTAGTTCGTCTAGTTTAGAAAAGTAATGTTTTTGTTGTCGAAATTTTAGAAATTTTTTCTTGTATAAAAACATGAAGATTTATACGTCAACTTAGTTATGTGAAAAAAATTTTTAAATTGAAAATTCTTTGTTAATAATTATTTTTTTTTAAAATTTAACAGTGATAAGTCAATTTGTGAAATAATAAATTTATATTCTTTTCAAAAATGGATTTATTAGCTTTTGAAAACTTGATCCTCAATTTGGATAATTTTAGAAATTAAACATAACCATGTTTTATAACCACATTCAGCTTGTGAGTAATAATAATAAAATTAAAAGTAATAGTAACAAGAGAAAATAATAACTTACAATAACTTACAACAGATTAAATTTTAAGTAATAATAATATTATAATTAATTAATATTATAATATTATAATAATATTATCGTATATACTGTAATTGTAACAGTAATACTAATATTAGTGAATAGAAATTCAAACACAAAGTGTAAATAAAACTAAAAATTTTCTAAAAGTAAAACAAACTGAAAGAAAAATAATGTTAATGGAATGAAAATAGTTTCAAGTATAGATTGAAATTATATTCGTATCCATTTCATCTCTGAATTATATATATACATATATAGAAGGAGAGAAGGATTTTCTAGATATACGCGATTGAAATTAAAACGTCTTTGCGCAAAAGGGAATTTCAATTTTCCAAGGATAAATTGAATTCTCCAAGTGGATTTCTTTTTAAAGGTTCTTTCGGTTTTATATAAAGTGATTCGTTGAAAAACCTCTTGTTGAGAGAAAAAAAAGAAAAAGTATAAAACTTTTTTTTTTTCTCTTTTCAATACCCATACACTATAACAAACTAAAAAGAAGGAAAAACCACCTTAAAGTCCCGACATGTTGACTTAATCGAGGGGTCAAAGTAACTGACGTTTACTTCGTTAATGGGCGAGAGAAGTATCTCCTTCTACCCTTCCGTTTCAGAGGGTTCAAAAAAAAAACTTTCTCGATTATCGTCCAATGAGAAAATTATATTGTAAACATTGACAGGAAATACAATATTAATGTGAAATTTTTTTCGCCCTTCAATATCCACTAAAGTTTAATAATAACTAAATTTTTTTTTTAATTTTCTGACTTAATTATTTATCACGTTAGGGGAAACTTCTTGATAATTGATTCTTACAAAAAAAAAATTATTCTATCGAAATAATTTAAATTCCCTATTCTACAAAAATAAATTCAATTCCTACTGATATTCTATCCCTACTGATATTATTCTATCAAAATAAATTAAATCACTATTGTTTTTTTCTTTGAATAAAAATACTTTTTCTAAATCAAAAATACTTTCTCTAAATAAAAATCTATTGAATAAAATATGGAAAGGATTTAAAAAGCTTGACGGAAATAAATATCTTGAAATAGAAAATTTGATGAGTATCAGAATAGGGTATAAGAGGAAAATAGTTGTAAATTATGAAAATGCCTGGCTTGAAATAGATTTAGAAGAGGATATGACATGAGAAGTCGAGTTTAAAAAATTAAAATAATCTATCGCAATTTAAAAAAAAACATAATAAATTTTAAATTATTCCAGTTGACAAGAACATAAGTTTTCTTCTCATGAATACATTTTTAATAGTAAATTTTTTACTGTAGTAGATTTTTCAAATTTTTGATCATTTTTACATTTATAACTTCTTTAATATCAAGATGATTTAAAAGAGAGTTCATAATTTTTAAAAACTTGTTCTAGGTTTTGTAGTGGTTGAAGACATGGATCTGGAAGCTAGTAATCAAAAGCAGAAGAGGAAGAAGAAAAAAAAAGTGTTGCTACTTCATTAGTATGATTTTGACATGTATGTCGAACATCATTTGGTACAAGTTTGGCAAATGTGCTTCAGTGAAAAAAAGGTTTTTTTTTAATAAAGATAAATCGTAATATTTTGACAAGAAGAAAATTCAACGTTCCATTTTGCAGTACATGCGTAAGTTTAAAAAATCGACTTTTAAATATACTTTTTTGGTTTAAGGTTATAATTATATACCGAAACATTAATTAATTTTAATTTTTTAATTTTTAATTTTTTTTTACTACTACTAGTATTATGATTTGTAATCAAATGAACAAAGTAAATTTTTTTCCGTTTTCTACTTCATTATATTTTCCATAATGGAAATTTTCTTTAAAACAAAAAATGAGTTTTTGATTGGAATTTTTCCTATTTTTATTTTAATTCATTATCAACATTAAACAATACCTGTCATATCGCTATAGTTATTCCTGGATAGAAATTTTGAGATATATATGCAAATGTATGATAATGTATCTGCAAATGTTTTCGAAACTAAAGTCCAATTAGGTCACATTTCGCATTGGAATTGACGGAGTGTTCAAAAAGGACTTGGCAATTTATCATACCATCCAGCCCATGAATATTCCTTCCAAGTCAAACAATAATAATATTTTCTCACGATAAAAGTGTATACGAGGGAAAAATGTCTCACAAAAGAAAAATACTTTTCTCCTTTAAACAATTTTTGAACACATTTTTTTTGGACTAATTTTCAAATTGTTTGTTTTTCTAAATTTAAACCTGTTTTTAATGGTATCTAACTTTTTCCTGTACTTTTGATTAATGTTAAGTAAAAAAAGATTGGAAATAAAAAATAAACTTTATAATAATAATAATAAAATTAATAATAATAGTATTGAGAATAATAATAAAAATAATATTAGTAATAATAACAATAGTAATAATAATAGTAATAAACAGAGACAAACAAAACAATGGCGAACGATTTGTTGAAAAAGAAAAATAATTCCATTAAAATTTGAAGAGAAAGAATAAAATCCTTATTCTCTATTTATACAAGTAATGGATTTAAATCTCGTCTTTCAATTCAAACCCTGAAGCTTAAACTTGAGTTTAATCTTTCGCTCTCGGTTACTCATTGGCTAAAGGTTTTCTCAGTGCTTCAAGTACAAACTTAAACTGAAAATCCAAGCTTTGCCAAAGAATACTTTCATATAGTTAGTAACACTTCTGGTTATCGAGACAAACCCAATATTTATCCCCTAAGGCGTGCGCATATAATAATTACCTTTTTTTCATTTTTCACAAACTTTACGATAATTTAATAATAATAATAATAAAATATCACAAAACAAAGAGGAAATTATCTTATTTTTCATAGACAATAAAAAATTTCTCCAAGAAAATTACATTTGTAGAAAAAAAACAAGAAATACAAAAACAAGTGAATTGAAAAAAAATAAATGTTAGCAGAGTATAACATTTTTTAATCAAATATTGTCGCATTCTATATCCAGCAACAAAATTCAATTTAAAAATCAATAAAAAAAAATTATCAATTTCTCAAAAAATGAATAGAAATAAGAAAAAAGAAAATTGAAATAAAACTAATAAAAAATTTTCAAAACAATAATAAAAATTTCATTTTTTTTTAAATAATAGAAAATTCCAATATAATGAAATGCAAAAGATGAAACGAAACAAAAAAAAAGAACTGAAACCGAGTTTAATTAATGCTATCATAACTGTGGTTATTAAAGTACTTTATAATTTACCCACAATTATTATCTCGAAATTGTGCTAGGAAAATAATAATTCGAAAATTTACATTTTCCATTGCAGTTGTTTTAAAACTTTTTCGAATAAAAGGAAAATTTAATATCTCTACCTTTTTCATTTCATTATCAAAGAAAAAATATATCTCCCTCTATTATTGTTTTTCAAATAAAAAATGAATTTTCAAAAAAATTATAATTTAAAAAAACGAGTTTTTAAAAAAATTCCTTTTTTTCATTTTAAATAAAAAGCTAAAAATAGATTTTTTAATCCTTGAATATTGCAATGCATTATTTTAAGATAAATTACCTCGTAAAAATTTCTCAACAACGATCTTTATATTATACCATTATTATATCGTACGTCGACGCTTTTTAATCCTCGTTAAAAAAGAAGAGAGAGTTTACAAACTTGTAATAAAAAAAGTACCATATTTTCCCTGAAGCATATTTCATTATAATTATTTTTATTTAAATTTATTATTATATAAATTAATAGAAAAATTTCTTGTGAAATAAATTTATTTATATTTACTATGATATAAATTAATTTAATTTATGTACTTTTACGTAAAAGGTATTGAAAGGCTAAGTAAAATATATATGTAAAATTGTCGAGTTTGGAATAAAGACGGTGGTGTTTTATTGGCAGTTTAATGACCTTGAAAAATGAACGAATTGGAAGGTGTAAAATCTTGTTTGGAGGCGTGGCCTTTCGGTAGGAATGGAAGCTCTAGGGTGGGGACAATGAGAAAGAGAAGGAAATTCGTGTTTTTCTCTCTCACTCTCATTACCCCACTCTGGAGTTTACGCTCCGCTTAAAAGTTACAGAGCAGTTCGGGGGTCTATACAGAAATTAATGAAATTTATTTATTTCATTGATTTCGTATGATCCAGTAACAATATTCGTGATGGTTACCGTAAAAGGACTCTACGTTCAACGGAGTCTTACGAATGTGGATGAAATTTATTGAAAAATAAATGTTCTTCACATTTGTTGTACCGATGACTAACCTTAATCACTTAATGGGCAATTTTTATACATTTTCCCCACCTCAAAATGTTTAATATACTTAAGTAGAAGAAAATTCATAAAAAGAGACTGATGCTCGCCCCAAAAAAATTGTGTACTAAAGTAAAAAAAAGTATAATGATATATAAATTTTTAAAAATCTAAAATGAAAACTAACTTCCACTAACGTACCCACCCTCTCAATGCTTCATTCCCAGGAAGAAGAGCCGTGTATCTGGTTTGAATATCCGTTGGAAGAACAATGTCCACACTTTTCGATCTGATATTCTGTTGTGGCACAAGTAACGAATCGGAATTGTCGCTTTTTCCATTTTTCGTATTGTTGAAGCACGAATCAACGGATGCGGCGCGATCCCTCTTCAATTCGGGAACAGTGAGAAAAATATCCCTAACAACAAGTTTACTCTTGTCCTCCTCGGCATTGTCATCCTCATCATCATCGTCCTCGTCATCCTCATCATTTGATCCAATAACAGTTGGGAATTCAATTGGAAATGAAGTGAGCGCCTCCTGACGTGACAGTCTTCCAAAAGATCTCCTCCTCTCCATACAAGGTAAACCTTCCGTCACTTCAAGTGCCTCCAATTCTGGCTCACCTTCTGATGACAATTTCTCCGAATATGTCATCAGTGTTACTCGAATTTCTGGACTACCCTCTCTTCTTGAATCACTGCTCGCCTCCCCTTCATCATCATCGACACTGACTTGATGATGATGATGATGATCATCATCATCATCATCGCCGGTGATTTGAATGATTTCAATTTCCTCCTCGTCCTCACGCGATGAATCGTCATCATCACGACTTTGATAGAGACTTTTGTATTCTTCAACGCAAGCACAGTGATAGCAACCCGATACTTGTATCACTGGAGTCTCGGGTTTACGATTTAGACGTTCGGCAAAGAAACTCCTTTCGCAAACGTCAAAACTCTTTGATCTCTGACCACTTTGGAGTTGGGGTACCCTTAGGGTGTTGAGTCTCCTTGATGGATCCTGAGAGCGTACGGGCGAACATGATGACGATGAGGAGGATGTTCTTGTGGCGAGTCGTAGATCGCGAGTCTCGTCGTGACGTTTCACTTCCAATTGAATTTCATCGAATGATGCGGAGCGAACCTGCTTGGGCACCTCAAGGCTGGATTGTGACTTCATTTCGGAGCCAGTTGGTGTGCGTGACCTCTTGAAGGTCGAGCGCAATTTCTGCATCCTCACCTGGTGCTAACAACACCTGACCTTCCACTCCTTGACCACCGTCTCTTTTTTTTCTCCTTTTCGTCTTCCTCTTCCTCCTCCTCCTCGTCTTGACTATCACCTTCCGAAGACAGTTGCACCTGCCTCCAAGACGACGTCCCTCGATCACTCCCTTCCGTCGTCCTGGTGTCAGCTGCCGATCTGCAGCCCATCCTAAGAGCTTAGCGCCAATCTCAATCACACTCTTTCTACTTTTCAGTTGCACTTTTCGATCCTCGGAATTTCTTTTCACTTTCCACGGGAACTGTGGGCAATTTTTCAATTAAGTGGACAATCTTTAATTAAGGAAGATTTTGATTTCAGTCTTTTGGAAATAGGAGAAGAAAAAAGTTGTTGCCTTTTTAAAAATCATTTGACTTCAAGTTTGGCAAATGTGCTGCAGTGAAAAAGTTGATTTTAATAAAGATCAATCGTAATATTTTGCCAAGAAGATAATTCAACGTCTCATTAAAAGTTGAGTGCATAGAACTCGTGGAGGGGATAGGACCCTTTCGGCGTCGTACGCGCAGCGTCCCCCACTCCACGGGTTCTGTGCATTCGGTCTTCAATAAAAAAAGGCGCCAATTTGAATTTGAAAAGCAAAACCTTCCGCTTGTTTGAAATCTTTCTTTTCTCGAAATTAATTAACATCAATCTACTAGAATTTGTAATTACGATTACAAGAAAAAAAAATAAAAGCAGACGAACTTTAGCATTGAAAATTGAAATGTCACCTAAAATATTATGAGAAAAAAATGTTAAAAATAATTTAATTTTTTTCAATTAATTTTAAATCGCTTTTTATTTTTCATTTCAAGAGTTTAAAATCACTGATGCGAAAAATCTGGTAACGTAGAATTTCTCTACTTTTTGGTGGAAATTATATTTTCGTCTTGTTTTATGTTGAATAAAAATGTTAGGAGGCTATAATAGAAATGCTGAACTTGGAAATTTGTTATTCAATTTTGAAAGCAGTGACCTGCGATATTCTCAGATAACCCATTTCCATTCGAATCTGTTTAGATTTTATACAATATTAAAACTGACATATTGAAAAACGCCATTTTGAATTTTATATTCTTTCTTGTTTCTTCTATTGTCATATAATGGTAAAAATACAAATTCCTACTTTTCTCAAATTTAAAAAAAGAAGTTATATAGTTTTTTTTTAAATTTAAAAAAACAACTAATAAATTAAAATATAAAAAGTAAAAAAAAATGTAGTTAATTAAAAATAGAAAAAAAAATCAAGTTTTAAAATTTTAGAAAACTTTCTTTTCCAATAAATTACTTATGTAAGGAGTAAAAGGGGGAAAAAATTGAAAAAGAAAAATCTTGACAAAACAAAAGTTCTGTTTTGAAAAAAGAAAATGTGCTATACACTATAGTTGCGCAATACTGAGCCCTTTGAATTAAAAATCGGACCATGTTCTCAGGACTTTATTAGCTTCTTTACTGCATTTTAAAAATCCAACTGGATTTCTTTTACGATGTAGAAAATTTATGACCATTGGACGTCCTTATAAGACGTGGCAAGTTTAAAAAAAAATGTGATAAAGAAACTGTCTCCACGGAATTTTGCAAAAAAATTGCCCTCTTTTTAGTTTTTGAAAAAATATTTTTGAATTTTTTTAAAAATTTATTTATTATAAATAGTGTAAATAAAAGTAATTGTAAAATAAATTTGTAATTACAATTATAAAATAAAATTATAATCATAAAATATAATTATAACTATAAATTCAATCTATAAATTTTAAAATAATTAACTTTGACAAAATGGGATTCAAGAAAAAAATTAATTTTAAAATAAAAAAAATTTATTTAATAAAAAAAAATTTATAAATTTTAATTTATTTTTTTTTTTAATTTTTATTTTTTTTAATTTTTTTTTTTTAAATTTTATTTTTTTTTTAAAAGTAAGAAGATGAATTCTTTATTTGTACTTTAATTACACGAAACAATTTTAATTCTAATATGTCCGGTATTTGTGAATAATTTCGAGAAATTATTTCTAAACCATCAAAACAATTTCTTGTTATGACAAAAATAATCTGACAGCATCAAAAATTTTTTGGAATTTGACCAAGAATTATAATTTTATCTCGAGAAAATTTCAACAAACTTAATAAAAATTAATTTAAATTTTATAAACATAAATTATTTTAGAAAGAGAAAAAATTTTTTTCTACTAAAAATACATTTTAAAAAAGAACTTGTTTTGTTCAATAATAAATAGATTTTCGATTTCTTTTTAAAAACTAAAAAACTCTTGAAGTATACTGTAAATAATTAAAAAGCATAAAAAAAATTGTGAAATTTTAAAAACAAATCTTGACAACAAAAAATAGAATTCAGATATTTTGGATAAAAAAAATTTCTTTTTCAAAAAGAAAAATTAATAAAAGAAGAAATTAAAAAAAATTATTTGGAATTTCTTTTTGAAATTTTAATACTTTTTTCGAGTTCCAAAAAATATTTGTTTTATTTTATTTTTATTTGCGCAAAATTTGCAAATTTTCAATTTTTACTCTCAAAGAAAGAAAAAATAGAATTCGAATTCAAAAAATGCAGTAAATTTTCTTTGAAACAAAAGAAATTAATTTCAAAAATGAGTAAATTCTTTTTGAAAATCAATTTAAAAAGAAGAAGAGTTGAAGTCATTTTTATTTTCATTGAAATACACGAAACAAAAGTTGACTAATGATGAATGGAAATATTTTAAAATTTTCCCATTGAAAATCACTGCCACTATAGAAAATCAAAAAAAAGAAAAAGAAAAAAGAAAATGAAAAAGATAAAAAAAAGATCGTGAAAAGAATCTTGCGAGGGCTTTACTCGCAGGAAATTTCTCCAATCTCGCCGGAAGCTTCATCCCTCTCATTCTCTTGGAATTTCAGGAAACTCAATGCTTGAAATCCCTTCTGAACAATTGATTCGTCATTAACATACTAATTACATTTTCCATAATGCAACCATTGTTCCTGTGTGTCAATAAATCCCAAACTTTGATTCAATCAATTTAAAGATATATGTCGACTTTTTTGAAAAAAATTTCAACTTAATTATAACATTTTGAAACGAAAAAATTTCCTATTGGAAAAGAAAAGTTTGCTTCTTTTTTCAAATTTGAAAATTATAAAATTACAATAAACTTTTAAAAAGTATATAGAATTTTTAAAGATTTGCTTTCATTTTAGAAAAATTATTTTTGCTTCTTTTTAAATATTTTTGATGAACGTTAATTGAATCCGAATTTTGATTAAAATCCCAAAGAAGTATAAATTCTGTACATTTTTTCCGCTTTTTCTCTTATGTACAAATTTTTAGTATTCTATTTAAAAAAGTGGTTTCTTTGAAGTATTTTTGATTTTTAATTTCCTGAATTAGTTTTGCTTTTTTAATCCGAATTTTGGTTAAAATCCTAATTTTTAAAAAAAAAACCATCCATAGTATTCTGTTTAAAAATCCGTGGTTTCTTTTAATGTTTTTTCTTATTTTTAATTTTCTTAATTAGTTTTGCTTTTGAATCCAAATTTCGGTTAAGATCCGAATTTTGAAAAAAAAAATCTCTCCATGTATTCTCTCTTTAGTATTCTATTTAAAAATATGGTTTCTTTTAAATAATTTTAAAATTTTTAATTTTCTGAATTAGTTTTAAATCCGAATTTTAATTTAAATCCCAATTTCGAATTTCTCTCTATGAGTGGATAGTTTTAAAATATTCAAGATATCTTTACTCCTTTGTTTTTAGAAATAAAAAATATTATCTTCTTTATTACATTTTTTAATTATTTTTTCCATTGAAACCAAAATTTTTGTTAAAATCCGAATTTTCAAAAAAACTTGACTCCCGAAAAAGTTTGTTTACCTTTTCAGATGAAAACATTTTTTTGTTTTCATCTACAAAGAAATGGTTTTAGCTTCCTTATTACGATGGTAAGTTACTTTTTTATTTTTTTTTCTTCAATATTAAATCCGAATTTTGTAAGTAAATCCCAATTTTCAAAAAAAAAAAAAAAATTTTTTTAATTTTTACTTGTTTTGTTTATGGATTTTGCTTTCTTTTTACGCTTCTTACATTGTTCCGACTATTAAATCAACTTTTTCATTTTTTCCTAAAATCCCAATTTTGAAATATTTCTTTCTCTCTTTGTGTGTGGCGTGTTTTATGAAAGAATCTTTACTGCTCTTTTTATGATACATATCAGAAAATTGAATTTCGCTCTCCCTTTATAATACGCTTCTAAAATTCTCTCGTTATTAAAAACAAATTTTGATTAAAATTTCTAAAATTTCTGAAGCTTTTTTGAAAATATTTTTATGTACTTAAAATATATTAATTTTAAATATTTTTAAAGTTAAACTTTTTTTTTAAAGTTTGATTCAACTTTCTCTAAAGATCTTGCTGTTCTTTTCAAAGTATCAACAACATTTTTCTCTGTTTACCTTTTTTTATTCTTTACTCGAAAAATTCTTTTTTCCTTCGAATCCCAATGTTTAGTTAAAATCCCAATTTTGACAAATATCCCTTAGTGTTCCGTGTTTCAAGAAGAATCTTTCTTAGATCAAAATATTTGATTTGGGAGTATCTTTTTAAATATTTCTCTAGATTCCAAATTTCAAAGAAAATCCTAATTTTGAAAAATATTTTTTTTTAATTATATTTTTAGAAGAGACTAAAACTGCTGAAAAATACTTTCGTTAAAGTCATTATTGTTTTGTTTACATCAACAGAAACTGTTTTTTTTCTAAAATTTTCAAAAATTTACCTGGAAATCCGAATTTTGGTTTTAGAAGAATTGAATTTAAAAATTATATTTTTTGCCTTAAATCTCAATTTTTTCTTCTTAAAATTTCTATTTTTAGAAAACATTCTTTTCTTTCGATGGTTTAACTTAAGTTTTTAATCAGTTTATAATTACGTTTCTTAGTTGTTGCTCGAAACTTTTTTCGAATTTCGAATCCGAATTTTTAGGCTAAAATCCCAATTTTAAAAATTATTTTTCATCCTAACAGTATTTGTGACAGAATCTTTTTTACATCGCAAAATATCTGTTTTTTGGGTTATCTGTTAGGTATACTTAAAATGATTCGCTAGAATCCGAATTTTGAACAAAATCCTAATTTTTAAAAATCTTTTATTTTTGGTCTGTTTCAGGAAATTTAAAATACTAAAACTACTTTGTTTGGTAAAAAAAATCACTGCTTTGTTTACATAAACAGAAAATGTTTTCTTTCAAAATTTTTCAAAAATCTATCTGGAAATCCGAATTTTGGTTTTCGAATTGCATTCAAAAAAATTTTTTTTAAACTTTTAGCCTTAAATCTCAAGTGACATTATTTTTTCTGTATTGAAGTTTCACATCAGTTCTGAGGATTATTTTTTAAATAATTATGTTTTTTAATTATTGCTCGAAACTTTTTAGGAATTTTGGTTTCTAATTTTTTGATAAAATCCAAATTTTGAATTATTCTTTTCAGTGCAGTTTTTGTAAACAGAATTTACGAATAATCTTTCCTAACATCAATGCAATTATTTGATTTTGGTTTTTTTCGAGTGTTTTTAAAATTATTCTCTAGATTTCGAATTTGAAAACAAAATCCTAATTTTGAAAAATCCTTTTGTCAAATGTTTTTAGGGAAACAAAAATATTAAAGTTACTTTGTTTATTCAAAATCACTGCTTTTTTTAAGTAAACAAAAACCTATTTTAGAATTTTTAAAAATTCAGTTTTAGATCCGAATTTTGGTTTTAGAATTTAATTTTAAAATAGTTCTTTTTTTAAATCATAGCTTTAAATCTCAAGTAATATTTTTTTTCCTTTTAATGAAGTTTCACATCCGTTCATGATAAGAATGTTTAAATAATGATGTATTTTGAAATATTATCCCTCGAAACTTTTCCCTTGAATCCCAAATTTTTGGGTTAAAATCCCAATTTTGAAAAATATCAACGATTCTCGTGAAAGTCTTTATTTCTTAAATATCTGATTCTGTATTTTTTCCGAATGTTTTTAAAATGATCCGACAGATTTCGAATTTTTAACAAAATCCTAATTTTGAAAAATTTTTTCACAAAAAATTTGACCAAATTGTTTTTTAAAATTGTTTTTTTCAAATGTATAGATAACTAAACATTCTAAAATTATTTTGTTCGGTATAAAAAAATCACTGCTTTGTTTACATAAACAAAAAACCCTTTCAACTATTTTAAAAGTACCGGTAAATCCGAATTTTTGCTTTTTGAATTTCACTAAAATCTTTTCTCTAAAAATTTAATCTTTTTCAAAATTCCAACTCTCAAAATGACATTTCTCTTTCTTTAACACTTAAATTAAGTTTCACAGCATTAGTCCAGGGTAACATTATTTAAATAATTATGAGTAATTAAAATCCAATAATTAGTTCTTCAAAAAGAAAAAAAAATATAGTTAACAACTTTAGCATCAAAGTTCCTTTTCAAATTAAATCATGACGTCAAAATTTCAAAAGCTAATGTTAATTCCGTTTCGAGAAAAGATAGAGATAGAAGGAAAGAGAGAGAGAGAAAGAGAGACTGACAAGGATCCTGGAAGGTGGGGTCCTTTGCAGAGCGAGGGATTGCCTCAGGTGGTCTCCATATCCCGCGTGGGTCTTCGATCCTGGCAAACACACTAACCGACCCGGCTCTATATATGCGGAACGAACAAAACAAGTTTTGCAAAACAAAAAAAGAAAAAATCAATTTAAAATTGAGATTTATTTAAAACCACGGGTTTGTTGTTATTATTAAAACCACGGTATTTGAATATTTCTTTTTAAATATCGAAATATTGGTAATATTTCAAAAACCAAAGTCTTGAGGCTTGTTGCTTTTTTTTTGCGTAAAGCAAAATCAAGCCTTTCGGGAGAGGAAAAAAAAAATAAAAAACACCCCGTGGAGAATAATCGTGCGGTTACAGGGTGGACTTGTCGCACAACTGACCAGGGTTCGGTTTGTTCAGTGGGCCAATAGCGAGGGGGTGCCCAATAAGCCACTGGCTTCTTTCCTTGCTCCGCTCAACGTTGCTGCTTCCATTCCTCTTGATCCCATCCCCTCTGTACCTCTCAATTCCCTCTTTCGGTCAGGCATGCGCCCTTTCAAATGACTGAAAACACTTGCAGCACACACACACACACACACACACACAGATACACACATTTATATATAGTGACGCACAACGAGGAACTCGAGATTCCTGCTGCTGGCTCGCCTGCTGGTAATTTCTATATCTATATACATAGAAAATGTCGCACGTGCATATGAACGACTCTTTGGATGTGCCAGGGTGAGCCCCCGGAGTGGCGTAAGCAACACGTCATACACGGAATTCGCCACTTTTGCTCATTGTACTTTTTTTTCTCCCTCCCTCTCTCTCTCTCTCTCTTGCACCTCTCCAAACAGACTCATTTTTAAGTTTATGAATGATTAACATCTGGTCCAATTTCTATCGCACAAATATGGAACAATGATAGACAATAATAACTTCAGTCAGATTAGTCGAAAAAGAAGGTTTTATTTCAGGACCGCAATTTTTTTTTTTTGCTTAAACCCTTTCTTTATTTTGGGGTCAAAATAAAGGGCTTAATTTTTGGTACTTCGAACTCTGTCGGGAAAGCAAAATATTTTTGCAAAATAGGTGCAAAAAATCAGTTTTTTTGAAAATTAGCGTTTTCCATTACATTTCAGGGGTAAAAGGAGTTAGTATAAAAAAGAAAGTGTATAAAATTCTGATCAATTTACAAAAAAAGTGAACCCTGTAGCTCAAAAATTGACCGAGATATGCCCTTTGCAAAAAACCGGTTTTTTTTTCTTGATTAGCCAAAATTCGTTATTTTTCAGTTTTTTCAGAACTACTTCTAAACTAATGATTTTTTTTTAAAATTGACATAGGAAAAAAAATTAAATAAATAAAAAATTAAAAAAAAAAAAAAATTAAAAAATAAAAATATTATATAATATAATAATATAATATAATAATAATAATAATATAATATAATATATAATAATATATAATAATAATAATAATAATAATTAATAAATTATTATTAATTATTATTTATATATTAAAAATATTATATTATATTATATTATTATATTATTATATATTATATTATTATTATTATTATTATTATTATTATTATTATTATTATTATTATTATTATTATTATTATTATTATTATTAATTTGACTGGACTATATATGGAGAACAAGAAATTTTATAGGACTAGAAAAAAAATATATCGCGATTTATGGTAACAGTGATTTTTTTTCAATAATTTTCTACATTGAAATTGTGTAAATATCTATACCCTACGCCTGGGGGTAGATTCCGTATATTACTATCCTACATTCCACTTTTCGTATCCCACTTCTGCAAAATGGGAAATATTTGTACTAACTTGAGTTAGTTGGATTTTTTTAAATCAAATTGCAGCTCTTTTATTAAAGAATAGAGTTTTTTTCGAAAACACGGATGTACTCAGAATTTTTTTGAATGTATTTCTGATTTAGAAAAAATTTGTGTTTAAAAAAACGTCGCTGGTCTTGTAAATTTATTTTCACAATTTTTGGGGCAAATATCAAATTTGAGCTGTTTTCATTAAATTGGAGCTTTTTGTATTAAAGATGAGCTTTTTTCAAAATACGGATTTACTCAGAACGACGCTAGTCTTGACAACTTTATTTTCACTATTTTTGGAATCGAATATCAAATTTGGGCTTTTTTTATCAAATTGGAGCTTTTTTATTAAAGAAGATCTCTTTCCGAAACACTGAGAAACTAAAACCTTTTTTAGAAATTATTTTCTAATCAGAAAAAAATTGTGTCTTAAAAAACGACGTTTGTCTTGTAAATATATTTTCACAATTTTTTGGGTGAAATATCAAATATTAGCTTTTTCCCCCAAATTGCAGCTTTTTTACTATAAAGAAGCTCTTATTCCGAAACACGGATGTAGTTAGATTTTTTTTAGAATTTATTTCCGATTCAGAAAAAATTTGTATATCCTGATAAGCGACGATGATCTTGTAAATTTGTTATCACAATTTTTTGGGTCAAGTATCAAATTTGGCTTTGTTTTCATCAAATTAGAGCATTTTTTAATTTACACTGGTCTTGACAACTTTTTTTCATCAAATTGGAACTTTTTGTATTAAACATGAGCTTTTTCCAAAACACGGATTTACTCAGAACGACGCTGGTCTTGACAATTTTATTTTCACTATTTTTGGAATCGAATATCAAATTTGGGATTTTTCATAAAATTTGAGCTTTTTTTTATTAAAAAAGTAAAAAAACCATTACACTGGTCTTGACAGCTTTTATAAAACAATTTTTGGAGTCGAATATCAAAATTGGGCTTTTTTCACCAAATTGGAGCTTTTTATAGTAAAAAAGAGCTTTTGTCAAAACATGAAAGTACTCGGAACTTTTTTAGAATTTATTACAGATTCAGAAAAAAATTGTATGTTGAAAAATGACACAGAGGTATTTAGAACTTTTTTTTAGAATTTATTTCCGATGCAGAAAAAAATTATATATCTCGAAAAATGACGCTGGTCTTGTAAATTTATTTTTACAATTTGTGAAGCCGAGTATCAAATTTGGGAATTTTTTTATCAAATTGCAGCTTTTTTTATTAAAGAAGAACTTTTTCTAAAACACGAATTCTGCAAGTTTTTTTATTTTAATAATACTTTAACATTTCTATTATGATTAAAGTCTAATGATAAGCTTTGTTGCAATTTTTTTGTAAAACGCGTATTCCAATCAAGTTTTGCAAATAAATTGCAACAAAGTTTATTATTAGACTCTAATCATAATAGAAATGTTAAAATAATATTAAAATAAAAAAACTTGCAGAATTTCCATGGAATCTCTACGAAAATTCCATTGAGAATAAGTTGCATGGAAATTTCTACGGGTACTTCTATGGAATTTTTCGACGTGGGTACTTTTTGAATGTAACACATTAATTTCGTTCATAGTCTCAGATGAAGAGCATTTTTAAATACGAAGCAAAAAATAAAGAAGACATTGTATAGTGATTAAAAAATTAGTAGGTAATTATTTTAAATTAATTGAAGGTGTTAAACCTATTAAAAATCACTTTCAAGTGGTTAAAAGGCATATTGTGTTTAAAAATTCTATAACAGATTGAATTTAGCAATTAAGTTGTGAAAATTGTGAATAGAAATAAAAAAATGTTACATTTTTAAAAAATTGTAAAAGAACTATAGTGATTTGAAAAGTGTTTTAGTGATTGAAAAAGTTTGGTATTTTTAATATACGAATATTCATCTATACAAAAAAGAGGAATTTTTGTTTAAATTTGAAAGTATTATTTTAACTGAAAGATGAATTTTAATCTTTCTTCTTTGATTGAAATTATTTCTCTAAAATTTAAACTTTAAATACTGGAAATAAGATTTTTAAGTTGTTTTTCGTTTTTCTGAATGCATCTTCAAAATTTAAAAAAAAAATGCCATTTAATAGAAAATAAAAATACTAATAATAAAAATAATAAAAAAAAAGTGCCGATAACTGATAATATTCTGCTTACAAAGAAATGAAATCGCTCGAAAATTAGTGTACCGCGATTAATGGTCTCACGTGCATACAAGATTTATTGATTGTTTCATTAGGAAAACTATTTTGTCAAAGTTTGTTTTTATCGTTAAAAAACTTATAATATAAACGTATTTTGACGTGGAATTATTTATCTGCATAATCTTGAAGTAAAAAAAGAATAATCGAAGTCTAGAAAAGTAGACGATCATTGCTTCCTGAATACAAAATTCATTTGTTCGATAAAAATATTCCCCAAAAAATTGTGATAGATTGAAGAAATGGAATTTTTTTTATTATTATCGACATTATTATCATGACTCTTATAATTATTATCACTATATTTAGAACAAATATTCTTATTAATTTATTAAATAATTAATTAAGATAAAAGAAATTACTTTTTCAAAATTGCTTTTAAATTAAATTTTTCTTGTATTCCTGTATTATATTTACAGCAAATATGATATATATCGATTACTATCGAATCAAAATAGTATTTGATTGGTTCTTTCTATTGACCGTTTCTTTTAAGTTTTAGCGCGGAAATTTTGAAAAAATACTTTTTTACGATTTAGTTAAATTAATTATTTTAATTGAATATTAAATAAAAATATTCAATATAAATAATAATTATATTATTTAGTAATGTTATTGAACATTAATATTTAATATATAAATATTGAATTCAAAATGATTTTATAAATATATTTTTATTTTTCTATTTTAATATTGTGGAAAAAAATTTTTCTCTTTTTCTTTATTGGGCTATTTAGTAATATCAATAAACAACTAATGTGCTTCTAAAGTCCCACAATAAATTTTTCTCAGAGGAAATAATAATAAATAAAATACATATATGTATATAATGAATTGTTAATTTATGTATATATATTGATGTTTTATGTGTAATAAAAGGAAAACTATCGCCTTCTAATGGACGATAAGATGTCACGCGAACATTTTTTTTCATCTCCGAGAAACATGAAATAAGAATTTATCACTTTAGTCGTCAATATTTTCACAAAAAATGAATTCAAAATCATTTTCAATACTTTTGACATCAAGTTCTCAAGATTTAATTCTATTAATTAATTTATTCGCATTAATTGATTATTACAAATTTGTAATAATAATATTAATAATAATTATTATTATTTTTAATTTTCTTCTTTATTTTTTAATTATTTACCACTAGTTTTTACTATTATTTATTAAATATTATTTTTTTGATTTATTTTCTTTTACTATTTTTAATATTTACTGATTTTTATTACTTTATTATTATTTTAATTTATTGTTATTAATTTATCATTATTTATTACTATTAAATTATTATTTTTTCTTTACCACTATTTTATTATTCTTTTTCTTTATTTACCTATTTTATCAAATTACTTATTTATATTTTTGTATTATTCTCTGATTTTTATTACTTTATTATTTGTAATTTATTAATTTCTTTTTTTTCATAAATTTTCTTATATTTTCTTTTTATTATTTACTGATTTTCATTGCAATTATGATTAAAATATTCAAAGACGATAATTTTTATTTTCGTATTATTAAAAAATTTTTTTTCCAGTAGTCGTTAGAATATTGAACGATTTTTTAATTAATTCGTGACTTGCTTTTAAAATTATTTGAATATAATCACTTTTTTTTATATATTATCATTTTATGTATTAAACAAATTTTTTTTCAATCAGTTTTTCCTCAAAATCACATGAAAAAAAAATCAAAAAATAATATGAGATGAAACTATTGAAATTGATTGTTTTATATTATTATTCATTGCACGAAATTCGTTTTTTGT